ACATTAAATATTCCTCGCCTGTTTTACAGTTAGAGAGAGAATTGGAAGGCCAAACCAGTTAAGGTATGCCACGAAGAGGTTATCCTTCAGTAAAGAGGCTAGCCATAAAGTTAGCTCGTCTGCATTGGCTGACCAGTCTGTCCAGGCTGCTATACTCATTGTCCGTCCTGAATAAGGCATCCTACAGTGAGTGTAGTGGTTGAAGGGCTATCACATATACTATCTGTCCTGAATAAGGCATCCTACAGTATATGCGGTAGTCTGAGGGCGACTGGGCTCTATTTTAATTAGTGTTAGGTTAGGACTACCATTGCTTGCCTCCGATTGTTATATTGATTCACCATTTGATTATTGTTTACCTAGATAAGGTTAGGACATATTTGTATATTTCGGCAGTCCACTTAAATCATACCAATCAGTTTTTAATCATTTATTGTTGAACACCCCAAACCCTGGAATTGACCAGGTACGATCCCTGTGATTAATGTAAATACATTACAAAAAAATTTGGTGGCAGCGGTGGGATTTGGGGTTGCATTCAATCATTAAAGTTTATATATGTTATCTTTTTGTCTTGGTTGATTTTTGTCGAGTAATTTATTTTTGAAAATTATTGATATGTCTGAGAGTGACATGAATGCTGAGATGACTGCCTTAGAGCAGGAAATAAGTAGGATTCAGGCTAGTATTAATAAAGGTCAAGCAAGGACAGTCGCCAGAGATTCAGGACTGCCTGAAAGTAGGCGGACAACCATTGATGACCAAGATTACACGAGTGAGGGCGCAAGACCAAAAACTGTTAGGACGAGCACCCTACCAAATATGTATACTAGGCCTGACAATCTTAGCGATTTAAGAAGAGCTGATAATGGCGAGCCAAATAGGATTTCTATCACGAGCACACCATACCATGCTAGTACATCCAGGCACGAGTTTCCTTTGTTGAATGAGACAAACATTACAACACGCCGCCCTGAGAATAATACACAGGCTGACAAACGGAAAAACGCCATGGTGAAACCAGATAAATTTGATGAAAGTTCGGCATGGGCTGATTTTAAGTCTCACTTTGATGTCTGTGCAGAACTGAACAGATTCTGGATGAGAGGGGGATGTACTTAGCCGTTGCTTTGAGAGGTCAAGCCCAGAGTGTACTTGGAAATCTACCAGCGGTAGACAGATGTAACTGTAGACTTTTAAGTAAGGCACTTAAAGACAAGATAGAATTCCGCTGACCTTTGGTTCGACCTAGTTGTACATAGTTGTATATATTGTTGTTTAAAAGAAAAACAAAAAAAATCTTTGTTCATTTTGTATATACACTGTAACTTTGAAATCAATTTGCTGTTTATTCAACATTCAGCTAAATTTGAGAAGTATTTAGTTTCAAATTTGTACATGCTGGACGCATGTCATCGGAGGCATGGGTAGTGTAATGATTCCGGAATTTTCAGCAACGACCATGCAGAGTTCTCAATTAGTCACTGATGACATCACGTGACATCAATCGTGTATAAATACGGAGACTCCGCAGTTGTTTACAGTTGTTCTTCGGACGCAGCCAAGGTTAGAAGACGAGTGCCGTGAATGAAGTATTCACATTAAATATTCCTCGCCTGTTTTACAGTTAGAGAGAGAATTGGAAGGCCAAACCAGTTAAGGCCTGCCACGAAGAGGTTATCCTTTAGTAAAGAGGCTAGCCATAAAGTTAGCTCGTCTGCATTGGCTGACCAGTCTGTCCAGGCTGCTATACTCATTGTCCGTCCTGAATAAGGCATCCTACAGTGAGTGTAGTGGTTGAAGGGCTATCACATATACTGTCTGTCCTGAATAAGGCATCCTACAGTATATGCGGTAGTCTGAGGGCGACTGGGCTCTATTTTAATTAGTGTTAGGTTAGGACTACCATTGCTTGCCTCCGATTGTTATATTGATTCACCATTTGATTATTGTTTACCTAGATAAGGTTAGGACATATTTGTATATTTCGGCAGTCCACTTAAATCATACCAATCAGTTTTTAATCATTTAATGTTGAACACCCCAAACCCTGGAATTGACCAGGTACGATCCCTGTGATTAATGTAAATACGTTACACTACTTTAATGCTTCAGTATTAGACACATGCAAAATCTTAACCAAAGTACCTATAAACTCACTTTTTTAAACAACAGGGCTTATTTAAGGCCGTTCCAACTAATTAAAGCAAGTGTCATATTGTATAATTAAGGATCATTGTTCCAAATGGGGAGATTGGAGGGTTCCATATTTTTATTCAAATGATATACCGTCTCCGTTTCCGTAAAAGCCAAAACGAAAAAGTAAATGAAAACTAAACTTTAAAAAAAATCTTCTTGGGGGGGGGGGGCACAATTACATTAAACAATAAGTACCATGGGCTAATATAAGGAAAATACGCATAAAGATAGAGATTGTCGTCAGCGACATTTTGCGCCTAAATTGTAAGGAATGTAAGATGCAAAAGCATAGATGCAAAATAATAAATAAGCACGATAAAAGTGAATACATGTATGCCAGGGTAGCAAAAAGATAAAAATAAAGATCCCTTTTAAGGCATAATAAAAACAAGAGGCCCAAGGGCCTTTACGGTCAGCTGAGTACAATACAACAATTTCGAGGATCCATAAACTGATAAATGAATCTTTGTTGCCCCAAAACAAGAAATATAGTATGATTAGCATCAACAAAATAATTGGTCTAGTATCTATCTGTCCCCCTTTTATCACTATTACCATGCAGAATATTTAACAAAATGTCTAATTTTCTTCTCCCATATTATTACTTCTTACATTGGCCGCTCTTGAAGAACATTTAAAAAGATGTTATTTTTGTCTCAATTTTATTCATCTATTATTTCCAAGTCTACCTGATCATTAAAACTGTGAAAGTACTTTTTGTATTTTACAATAAATATTCTTGCATAATTCTCGTATTCTACTAATTAAATTCACAATTTTGGAAGAGGCACTCTTACTCATCATAATTATGTTCTTAGTTAGTTTATTTAATATCCAGGAGCAGAGAAGATAAAAATTCAAAGAAATAATGCACTTTTACTATATGATCTATATAGCCCCGCCCTAGCACCAGAACCCCAGACCTTGGGGCCATAAAATTCATAATTTTGGAAGAGGCACTCTTGCTCATCATAACTATGTACTTAGTTACTTTATTTAATACCCAGGAGCAGAGAAGAAGATTTACAAAGAATTAATACATCTTCACTATATAATCAATAGAGCCCCGCCGTAGCACCAGAACTCCAGACCCAGGGGCCATAAAATTCACAATTTTGGAAGAGGCACTCTTGCTCATCATAACTATGTACTTAGTTCAGGGTTTGACATTAACTTTTATGAGTACTAGACCAGTCGGGCTACTTCCAATAATTTTTACTAGCCCTGACCGTAAAATCATTAGCCCTGACCAAACCTGCTATTTTTTTTTAAATCGCTAATTTTAACGAGGTAATTTTGAAATTGTTTCAAACTAGCCAATTGAGTCGGGTTCATCAAGACATGAGAGTATTGTAAGCTTTAAAGATCATTCAACGAACTTTAATAATTTTTTTATCCTAAATATTAATAAATTAATTGCAGAATATATTTTATCAGTAACTATTTATACCATGTTGATACTGAAGGACGCTAGTTTCTACCGCGGCTTGTCTATTACAGCCGTGGCTAAAATAGCGATTGTGACATACAGGGATTTTTTGCTTTACAGAGCGATAGCTGTGTTTACAATCGGAAAAATTAAGAAAAATTCTTTAAAAGTTTTTGAAATAGTTATTTGAAAGACTGATGTAGGTTTTAACAATAATTTTATAAAAACGACCAATCGGTCTAATTCACGTACATGTTACACGACCGGACCACTCATCTACTAGACTGGGTCGGTCGGACGTGCCTTAGTGTCAAACCCTGTAGTTACTTTATTTAATACCCAGGAGCAGAGAAGATTTTCAAAGAAATAATGCTTTTTCACCATATGATCTATATAGCCCCGCCCTAGCACCAGAACCCCTGACCTTGAGGCCATGAATTTCACAATTTCGGTTTTGTTTGTTTGTTTGTATGTTGTTTAACGTCCCTCTCGAGAATTGTTCACTCATATGGAGACGCCACCACTTGCCGGTGGAGAGCTGCAAATTTTGTCCTATACTCGGCACTTACGGCCATTGAGCAGTGAGGGATCTTTTTCGTGCCAGCACCTACTGCGACACGGGACCTCGGTTTATACGGTCTCATCCGAAGGACCGGTCTCCACGTCCCACAGTGGGATTCGAACCCGCGACGTAAGGACTAACTCCTTACTCCGCGACTCTAGAGCAGACGCTCTAACCACTGCGCCACGCGGGCGACCACAATTTTGGTAGAGGGCTCAATGCCTATTACAATGATGCCAACAGTTTGACTGCTTGATGTCCAGGAGTAAAGAAGAAGATTTTTAAAGATTGCATTATTTTTGGTGGTTTTAGCCCATCCCCTCAGGCCCCAGGAGTGCAGGGTCCATGAAATTCACAATTTTTGTTCCCCTTCACCAATAGATGCTATTTGCCAAATTTGGTTGAAATTGGTTAAGCGGTTTCAGAGAGGAAGCTAAAAATGTTCAAATGTTAACACACGACGCACACCGCACGACGACGGACGAGAACGGATAGCTATAGGTCACCTGAGTGACTCAGGTGACCTAAAAAGTCAAAATAAAAAAGAAGAGGATAGTTCAATTTAAATTTGATGTTCCGCATCCACCATCGCTTCTCGGAACAGCTAATTTTAATTAGACTGAGAATAATACGTAAAAAATGCAGAATTCAAAAATAACCACGAGAAAATATATATATGTGAAAGAAGGTGGAATATACACATGTATATCTGCTTTTGGGAAGTAAAAAGAATAAGAAAAAAATTAAAACAAAATTCACGGTACAAATCTAAAGTCAATAAAATTACTCTTCAATTCGTTTTCAGCCACATCTCATAACTACACAAAAGTACCATATCTTAACAAAAATTAATCACAAATGAAACAGAAAAAAACACACATTTTTTGTCTTTTCAAAACATAGTGACTTTTGAGGGTAAACTCCCTTATACTAGAAATTTGCGTATACACTGTCATTTCTCAAATATTCTGCAACAGCCTCATGACAAAGCTGATATTCCTCCTGGAACAAAAAACATTACAGTGAAATTTAAAGATTTTCATAAGAAAAAAGGATGTCGTAATTTCGTAGATTATTCGATATCTAAATAAATATTGCCAGTTTTCAATTGAGTTGTACATAGCAAAATTTGTGGATAGAATAGTGTTGTCATTTGTATCCATGCACTATATTATTTTAAAATCTATCATATCATAAGGAACAAAGTATTATCATTTTTAAAAAATAATAGAATGAAAGTCGCTCTCTCTTTCTCTCTCTCTCATAATTAGATGACGTAAGTGTCAAATGTCATCAGATATACATACAACTCATTCACTAAACAAAAGTAGTTTTATGTAATGTCATTTGTAAATGTTGTAAAAGTCATTTATGTTACAGCTTTTCTTGAAAATCAAAAACTTGGGAGCAAGGATGGTAATACATACTAAGTTGGACAAAAACTCCGGTCTACGGATCTGAAGTTGCCGTGTAATGGTGAAAATATCCACTTCCTGATCCATTGAAAGTTGTTCTAGAGCGTTATAGACCACACAGAATGCTCCACAACGTGTGGCTCCATCACTGTCGAAAAGAAAAGAAATACATATAATCCAAAATTATAACAATCTCTAATACAGTGTTCAAAAGAAATATTATTTGTGTACATGTGTTTTCCTGGAAACCTTAAAGCTTTTGACAGAGAGTGTGTTAGTTACACAGTAAAATTCACCAAAAATTCAGGAAACTATTTACAATCAACAGATACGTGTATAAAAGGGAAAACGAGAAATTAGTGGCTTAGTAAATTCACATACATGCAATCAGCTCATTATTTACAATTAGATGTAAACTTCGATTGAAACTACCTGGACAGTATGAGAAGTCTGTTTCCGTGATCAAAGTTTTCACTTTTTGCCGCCTTGACAATGTCCACTAAGTCTCTCTTGTCCGCAATAGAGAGTCCTCCTTTCAATTTTGGACATTCAAGCACAGTCACTCTCATTGAACTGCATCCCTGTTTTGCATTTAAAGAATTTGATATACTGTATAAGTACTTCTTCCTGGGTTGTGTCAAATATTTTACCCGGAAATTTTGTTCTAGCTTACTTAAATTGCATTTAAGGCAGATGATAGCAATCTAAGAAATCCGTGTAATTTTCTACTCGCGGATTGAACAGAAATTTTAATTCCGCGGATTTTTGACCCCGTAGAAAAATAAGTTTACAGTATTTGAGACACACAGTAAGTCGTATTTTGTCTTAATGACTCCAAAACTTGCTGACGCCACAAACCTTTGGTTTAAGATGTATACTTGTCTTGGAAACATTCGCCGAATCTTCACACGAAGTTAGCTTTATTGTAAAACTTCCAACGGTTTTCTCCATATTTTTGGATGGGAACCAAAGAGGGGACTACAAAAATGTTAAAGAAATGTAAAGATGTAAATGTGTCACGAAATATAAGAAAAGATGACAACAAAACCTATTACTCGTAAAACATTATCATGTAGTCATACTTTTTATTTTTTATAAACGTTATTCTGATGCAATCAATATTTCTTTTTTGCATCTGCTAAACTGTATTATTTTTTTCCAATTGAAAGAATTCCAGTATGTGAATGTGTGGACTACGATATTTATTTTCAGAGTGGAACTACCGAGTTACTTACGGATTCCAAATCAGATAATGGGCAAAGAAAGACAACTACGCGGACATTCATATCCTTTACCAGCCTTAGGAAGTCTTCAGTGTAGTCTTGTACTGGATACTGGGCAGTGATGAGACTATCATTTTCTTTGTAAGACTTAAAGATATAATTTCTTTTTATGATTTTTTTTCTTAAACAATGAATTGGTTCAATCGATTTTAAAACCAAGAAAAGATTTGGTGTATTATATTTGTCTTGAGTTTGAAAATCACTAGAATTGTCGCTATAAGGGCATTATTCACTATTGTCCTGTTCACCAAAAAATTGACTAACATTTAAACAGACAATTGTATTTTTGTAAATAAAAAAAATACGTTTCCTTGCATATATTTCAATTCAATAGAGCTATGTTTGTTTTGGAAGTATAATAATGAAATTTTATTTGCATATATTATCCCAATTTAAGTAAGCAACAATGACATTTGGTTTTCTATACATTGATTGTCTTAAAACATTTCTTCCTAATGCGAGAAGCACTGACTTTTACAATCAACGGCTTACTTATACACTAAGTCAATATATGGAAGCTCTTTTGCGATACAAATATTTAACAGTTAATTAAACGATAATGATGGGCCATTTCAAGGCACATATTACGATGTCTAGGAAGGGAAAGGCAACTATTACCCACAAGAATAAGGTAATTTATGTAATTCTGCCTCTCATCATCTCTTGCGTTGATTGCATACCAGTAAATCATGTTAGTGCCCCAAGCACCATACTTATGACCACTATTAAGATTTATCAATTCCGCACCCGGTAGAGCGCTCGCTGCGTGATCGGGAGGTCGTGGGTTCGAGCCCCGGCCGCGACTCACCTAGGTCGATAAAGATAGGTAGCAACTGTTCCTTCGCCAAGCGCTCGGCACTTTGAAGTGAAAGTTGCGGGTCCTTCGGATAAGACCTTAAAAACCGAGGTCCCGTGTCACGGCAGGCGTTGGCACGATAAAGATCCCTCACTGCTCAATGGCCCTGAGTGCCGAGTAAAGGTCTAAATTTGAAGCCCTTCACCGGTATATGGTGACGTCTCTATATGAGTGAAAAGTTCTCAAATGGGACGTAAAACAACATACAATCAATCAATCAACAATTCCGAACCCCCGTACATGACACAGATTTAAATGTCAAAGTAAGCCGTCAACTGTAAAAGTCGGTGCTTCTCGCAAAAATGAAATATATAAACACACTATTTTTAACTTTCTATTTTTTTTTCATAAGTGTATTGAAGTTCTTTAAAGAGCGTCACTTCATTTATGCATAATTTAATTTGAAATGCTTATTCACATATATAACTAACCTGGAGAAAAACAGCGTTGTAATATGTGGATCTCCCTTTGGAATATGTTAACCGGCACATGAATTCTTCAACTAAAATGGAGGATTAATAAAAAGAAACATGAAGTACTATATTTATCGAATCAATTCATTTTTATCAGAGACAAAATCGTCTCTAAAATGAACTGATTCGAGAAGAATAGTTTAATTTACTTCTTTCTTTAAACAAAATCGAAATAATGCAAAACAGCTAAAAATTGACGTTTGTTGTTTCAATAAGTTGAACAAAATATTCGATAGTACCAGGAAGTACATCCTTTGTGTAGTTGGCTGCCATATTTGTATTTCCTGATTCATAGTCCTTATCTGTATAAGTTTTTCTAAGCGACAGCAACTTCTAAAACAGTAAGAATTAGTCAGAAAGGAAAAAAAAATAAGGGAAATCAGTAGTTTACTTTAAAGGTGCCTAGACACAGATTTGAAGTTAATATTTTCTCAGATTTTCTGTATAATATCAGGACTTATATGTTGGTATGGTACAGTACCAACCAGACCCAACCTGACACAAAGCAGTCCCAGAGCAGTCCCGGGGACTGCTTTCTGGGACTGCTAAACTGCTAGAGCAGTCCCACAGTTGTCCCAGAGCAGTCCCACAGCGGTCCCAGAGCAGTCCCAGCGGTCCCAGAAAGCAGTCCCAGTGGGCGGGGTTAATTAATTTAATGGGCGGAGCTTACTCAGAAATGAGATTACCAATAAACAATGTAACTATAAAAGGCAGTTGAAATTGATGATCCATTTCTTTCTGAGCAGTATCAATTCTCATGCGACAGTCATTTTTAAACTGTTAAGAAAATCACACTACGCGTATAGAAACAAATAAAAAATATTGAACAAAACAGACGTTCACACCTACTAATAACAATATATTGAATATTTAAACACAGTTTTGTGGTATATTGATTTTTCACCAAAATAAATCAATTTCTAAATTACTGTGATTGATATTGGTTTCCATATTTATTATTATTTTTTTTATATAGAAAAAAACTTGAGTTTTTTATTTTCTATCAAAACTAGCTTTAAATAGGCCTTATAATTATAGAGCAAGGCCGATTTCCATACTATACTCTGAATGCAGTTTTCTTAAGTATTGGAGCTTTTGAAAAATTCTTTGTGTATTGTATTTCAGTCACGATTATTTTCACTGACTTGCCAATTTAATTATCGTTAGATTATTTATGTAACAGAAAATAATAATACTTTTATTTTATAAACATTTGAGTGTACATGTGTAAATCACGCGAATGGAACCCTCAGATTATGTTCAAAATTAATTAATCCCGAAATAAATTTATACACATTTATTGAAACGAAGATTTTTTGCAGTACATAGATTGAAATTTGTGTCATTGTTGACCAGCATGTTCAGTGATGTGTAACACTGATACCCAAATAACATGCATTGACTTTCTGCTAATCATGCCCGAAGGCGATTGAAACCTCAGGTGTTGACACCATTTTATACATTTGTATTGCTTTTTATTAATCGGCCAGGAAAACACAAACAAAACAAATAAAAAATAAGTCACTATTCCCAATATTTTAAAATGTTTATAAATTTACTCTTTTAATAACTTGTTTATAAATCAAAAACAAATTCATAAATAAATTCCCCAATAATCACAAATATAATTGTTTAAAGGACTGAAGAATGGTAGAATAATTTTATTTCATGGTCATTTAATAAATTATTAGGTTTTATTTGAGGGCGGTAAAAAATAGCATGGAATGCTCTTTTTTAGCATGCATATGGTTTTAGCTTTTTCAATTTAAAAAAAAATCCAGTACAGTACGTCCCTCTGAATGTCTTATTGTAATGACACGTTTTTTTTTTTTTGTTTTTTTTTTTTTTTTTTTTAAATAGTGCTAATGCAAACTGAGTACATTCCGTAACTTGACAGCATCAATTAATTAAATAGGCCTCGATATTTTTTTTTTTCAAACATCTGTATTAAAGTTTTAATTAGCATTAATTAATTAAGTAGGCCTAGATATATATTTTTTTCAAACACCTGTATTAAAGTTTAATTTAAAGGATAAAAGTAATCTCCTGACTTCCCTTTTAACTACTTTCATTTTTTAAACTTAATTCTAGACTATAATTGTGTTAATTTACAGCCCCTGAAGACATTTAATAATTACATGTACATGTATATCTATCTCTACTTATTAAAATGTAAAAAATCCTTGTTTTTTTTTTAATTCTTTATCTTAAACACCTCTCTGCTGAAAGTAAACAAAACAACAATAGGGAGCCTGCAAATTCAGAATACACAAGGGGCGGAGCTATCATGTCACTCAGAACCTTTTTCATGCATGAGTGAACAAAGCAGTCCCAGAAGGCAGTCCCAGGGACTGCTGGGTCTGCTTTCTAGAGCAGTCCCAGAGCAGTCCCACAGCGGTCCCAGAGCAGTCCCACAGCAGTCCCAGAGCGGTCAAAGCAGTCCCGGGGACTGCTTTCTGGGACTGCTTAGGTGTCAGGTTGGGTCTGGTTGGTACTGTATTTCACATGGAAATATAATAAAAGTGTGTTCAGAAACGTCTTTTTCTGGAAACTATTGAAACTACGAATTTCGGGGCGCTTTTGATTGACACATCCTTTCACAAAGTAAACTTTATCCTTAATACTTAAGAAGGGTAGAAATTTTGTTGTGTATTAATGAAAAAACTTAAATCTATAATCCACATAATTCAGATTAGAAATTTAAGAAAGCAAAACCAACTCACCAGTATTGCCAGTCCGAGCTAGGTGATGTTTGCAGAGTTAACAAATTGAACAAACCCGGTGAAACGTAAACATAAACAATGACAGAGCTCGTGCCCTGTTTACAGAAAAACATGTTTGACGTGATGGAAAGAAGAACGTCGTTGTTATTGAATTCTAAGAATATTCATGTAAGTTCAATTCATTTAACTCTTCTTTTTTAATAAGTGTTGACATTTAACATGTAAACAATGCTACTGTGTCCAGGCCCCTTGAAAGTAAAAGGAATAGCTAAGAACTTCAATAACCAAAACAATGCATAGTAATATAGGTCTTCAGCAATCTGCATGATTTCATAGGCTAAACATCTGCAATTCAGTAATTTTTTTCCCAGACCATTGACCTTTCAGTTGACTCAATAGGTTTAACTCATCCTTTTTTTTACGTCAGATACTTGTACCTTAAAATCTGCAGACAAAGGGTTTGATGTAACTTCTCCACAATTGGCGTAACACAAAGTATCTTGATCTGCTTGTAAAATTTGCTCAGTTGTCATGCATCGCGATTTTTCCACGAACGATTCGTAAAGTACCAAATAGACAGATTTGTATTGTTCCTGAAAACATTTGGTGAAGTATTATTAAATTTATAAAATCAATCCATCGTGTGAACATCAACCACAAAAAGACCTATATATATATATATATATATATATATATATATATATATATATATATATATATATATATATAATATATATATATATATATATATATATATATATATATATATATATATAGACACTTCCACTTCTCTTCCACATTCATGTACAAGATTTTAATTTGATTACGTGTAAATATCCTATAAATTTTATATAATGTGCAATGCGTCAGTAAATATCTCTTTTAAATGGCCACTTAGATATAAAATGTACGTTATATGAATTAAAAAAGTGATAATTCAGTCTGATCTGGAAATATGATATGAATTCAAAATTGACACATATCAAGACTGAGGCATATTTTCTATCAGTACAATACTTTTTAGAATAACAGAATGTATCATTCTATATCAATATGTAATATAAATATAATAGGCATTTACATGATTGACTATATTATGTACACCCTACTAGCATATTGTATGGTATGTTTTTAATTTTTTCTTATTTTTGCATATAATTGTATAAAAAAAGTCTTGATACATATGGCTGAATTATTCTAAATTACTATAAAATTTCAATACATTGTATAACCTTACATCTCCTTGTATCATGTTCATTCTGTCTTTTCTCATGGTCCTGACGTACATCGGTACATTAACTTTACCATTTCTCTCCCCTTCCCGATAGAGGGCGTCTAAAGCAATGTACGTACCTGTTCTACCGATTCCAGCACTAACAGTTATAAAAAAGAAATATTACAATCAGAGATGAGGGTGTTCATAAAACTATTTTAGAAGAGATACTTTTATGAGAGAGAGCATTTAACCTGCAGTGCACAGCAATGTATTTTCCCGGGTATTTAGAAGACACTCTCATCACGTGACGATGGAACACAACAAGACTTAGTGGATCAGGAACTCCATGGTCTGGCCACCTTGTATAATGAAACATCACAACCTCTCTATCCGTTTGTTCCTGCAAACACATTTCAGATTCTTCATGATTAATTATACATGTAGGTCTACAAAGTTTTTGTTCATGTAAATACAGCAGCTACAAATATTTCTTTTTCTGCCAAAAAAAGATTCTCATATATTACCATTAAGCTTGATAAATATCAAGAATTTAAAAAGTGTATTCTCTTGATGAAAATAACGTTATTTATTTTTAATAGAAGGACTTAGTCCGGTAAATGAGAATGATCATGTTTTTAATTTCCAAATGTTTTCTCTTGGATAATTCTTTCAATGTTAAGTGTAGTTATTTTTTGAATATTTACAATTAGATGTAAATTTCGCCAAGTGAAAGGTATATTGTCTAATATGCAAGTCAATTTCCTGGAATGTCTATCTGTGCGACTTCAGTTGGAGAGGACTATAGAAATAAACATGAAATGATTCTTATATTTCAATCTTTTAAGAAAGCATTTCTTTTGTTTTCACTGACATTCTCTTCTTGCATTTTCTATTCCACTTAAAAAGTTAATATAAGGAATCTCTGTATTGTTTGTGGCAGGGATATCAAGGCAGTTTGGAAACGTGGGATAATTTATGCATAAGAAGCTTCCTCTAATATACAAATTATTTCCTGTGTAATTTCCAATTGTCATTAATGTCTTGGCTCAACAAACTAGACAGCAATTCATTTAATAATAAGTAATTTTACCAGAAAAATCACAACTTTAATCAATGAAAACGATTCATTTTCCAGATAAAGATGTTTTACACTAGTTGATTGCCATACTACTAATGGTAAATTGCTTCACAAAGAAAACTCATTTATTCTCACCAAGTGTTTGAAGACTTTGAAATGTCTTTTGGTATAATTAGCATAAACTTTTTCTTCTATGTTTCTGATATTAAAATCTCCACTTTGTAATTTGTCGTTAATGTTTGGCCAATATTGCGCGCATTTGATCTAGATATGGAAATAAAATTCATTTTAATTCATTAAGTAATTTACAACAGAAGTTAAGTAGATGAAATAATTAAATATATCGACCTCTAAAAAACAAACAATTTATATGTAGTAATTCATTTCCAATGGAAAAAATTAAAAATCATTACATGTAAACACATTCGGTTCAAACAAAATTTTATTTATTTACTCTTAAATAAAACAGATATTAGATAAAATAGCTTGCAAAAATAATAAACACATAAAAGACAACTTTGATAATAATTGTCTAGTACCGATACAACATGTATTATGTAAGAAAAAAAATACGAATAGTGTTGTGTGTATTCTTCAGCTGACCTTTGCCCCTTCTTTGAGATTGGTCAGACACACAATAATGGATACATCCTCCTGCCAAATCATTTTCCAGAAATCAGCAATCGTCTTTGGCTTAGGACCTAGACAATATTCATATATTGAGACCCAACAACGACCACTCCAATTAAAAAAAAAAAGAAAGAAAGAAAGAAAAAATTTTAAAAATGAAAACTTAAAAAAAAAAAATCAGTATAACTTAACATAAAAATATTTCCCGACTTTCTGGAAGACTTTTAAATATTTCCGTAGAATGATGATACTTCTATGAATTAAACTACTCATCAAATGTTGTTTCCAAAAATAAAAATATTTATTAGCATACCTTGCGTGGCGATGTAGGAGCGTTTACCCTGAACATCCTGTAATTGACCATACACAATCAAAAACAGACGTATTTTAATGTTTGATACAGTTTTTGTACACTTAGTTCAAAAAAATCAAGAAGAAAACTACCAAAAATAAGATAAAACTGAAGGAAAACGTTGGCTGAAAACATTTTAGCTTTTTTTCCTATCAAAAGGCGTATAAAGATACCTCTTTGATTGATTGATTGTATGTTGTTTTACGTCCCATTCGAGAACTTTTCACTCATATAGAGACATCACCATATACGGCTTCAAATTTTGACCTTTACTCGGCACTCAGGGCCATTGAGCAGTGGGGGATCTTTATCGTGCCAACGGGACCTCGGTTTTTAAGGTCTTATCCAAAGGACCCGCAACTGTCGCTTCAAAGAGCCGAGCGCATGGCGAAGGAACAGTTGCTACCCATTTTTTATCGACTTAGGTCAGTCGCGGCCGAGATTCGAACTCACGACCTCCCGATCACGGAGCGAGCGCTCTACCGACTGCGCTACCGTGAATGATAGATACCTCTTTGAAGTCTGCTGGTCAAAATTAAAAGTATGATTTGGATAGATGTTCTGTACATAAACATACCTCTATATAACTGGCATTAATATAATCCCCCTCACTTGGCGATGAGGTTTTCAATACGACTCGGGAGTGGTCATCTAAAAGTTAAAACTGTAAATCTTAAATGAGTTGCGTCAAGCGAAAAGGGACCTTCGTGACAAAATTTTCGAAAATAGGTTTTTGACCGTTTCTGAAAGAGCTTATTTTTCTGAATATTTTGACACCAAATTTTTTATTATATACCTTTTAAATTCTAATTAAAACTCTAAAACAAAATCAATGCAATGTTAACAGGATGAGGCTATAAAACGTTGAATAACGTCACAAAACGTCATTGATAATTGGGACGTCATTACTAAATCATCCTTTTGTATTGATTAGAAATTACTTTTTCTAGATGTTTTTAAAAGTTGTTTTTTTTTCAATATCTAAGAACAAATTTTAGTATTTACATGTATATGATGTATACATTGTAAAATAGTGATAATATTAAGGTTGAAGAAAAAAATATCTATAATTATGTACATTTATATAGAAGTAATAAAGGTAGTAGTTAATTTTCAAGGAATATATTCAATTTCGACATTATCTCACCTTTTTTTCTACATCATCAACATAACCATGCTTCAATCTCTAGAAAATTTTTATTTGAAAGGATCCTTGACAAGGGGACAGACCGCTGACTATACAAAACCAAACAAGTTCCTACTCTGAAATCATTTCGCCTTGGCATTCGTAACAACACGGCCATTTTCCTTGAGTTATTATTCACGGAAATGACCAAGTAGTACGATTGCTCGCAAAGGGGTGAATGAATATTTGACATCACTGTTAATGCTCGCAAAGGGGTAAATGAATATCTGACATCACTGTTAATGTAGTGATTGATCCCGGTCAAAGTATTATTTCTCTTTCGCTATAATCACCAAATCCACCTCCACAAAAACAAACCCTCAGGCAGTACCTACATGTATTTTTTTTATGGAAATGATACAGTTGTACTTCCCTGATCTAATGTTCTTAGGGGTGCAACTTTCAGGCATTGTATTTTTACCTATCCATTATTTCACATGTCTTTCAAAAACGATGTCCTATGATTTTATTTCAATTGAAAATCATACTGAAATGTGGAAAATCTCCCCATTCAAAATACAGTTGGTTAAACGTGTTTGTTTAATGCCCTCCCCCCCCCCCTCCCAACGATGCTTCCTGCCTATATGACAGCGATTTAAGACGCTAAAATTAAATCAAATATACCGGTACACACAATATATGTGACTTAACTATACATGTACATGTATATCAGTAAAAGAAATAAAGTTTTTGTACATTAGTGACAAGAGGAAGGGGGGGGGGGGGGTCTAGTTCGAAAATAAGCCCGGCACTTTGTACTTGGAACAAAGGCACGTTAAAAATTACTTGGTGCTTGCAGTTGTATACATTTTGTTGAAGATAAATATTGTATGTTGTACAGTTTTGTAAAGAGAATTCTTTTTTTTCTTTCTCAGGTTAAAAATATTAATTAATTTGTTCAGCGCTAAAAATACAGATAAAAAACCCAGATTACGTATATATCTAGACTTGATGCAAAACAATCAGACGGACAGCGTTCAAAGTCAAACGTTTACTTCGACTTTCAAATTATATTTTTTTAAATCGTTAATATATATAATTGACATGTATTTATAAGATTTTCTAATCATGCTAATGTGCCACCTTTTCACGTGTTGGTACTCTTTTTCATGTTCTATTTTATTATTCAAGTCAAGGGTCCCGGATGATGATTCTAACTTACAGATGTACAATTTAACCATTACTTCAATATAGAAGTTGATACAGTTACATGTAAATAATCAGTTTAAAATTCAGTGTCAATGAGAACAAGACAATATTACTGGGTGTGTGTAGAAGGTATGAAATGGTCCTCACCCCTGAAATTCCAAACAATATATTCTGTAATATACATACAGGCTGTCATTGGTAGAAATTTCTTTAAATTTATTCCCAGCATGTGATTGTAAGCAAAAGATTCAATTACATGTATTTGTATTTTGTGATAGGTAGATCATTATGCGTAGTGTGTACGATCGGCAATCCTTACACTCCAAACAGGTACATGTGCAAGCCATCCGAGGAGCTCCGAGCGATATGTGTACGCTATATATAAAAAAAAATATACAAAAAATAGAGTAATGAATTATTGATGATAGTAGGATATAATTTAAAAAAAACGTATAATTAAAATTAAAAAAAACTCTAACTTTTCATTCTTCATTCCTTTCTTGATTTTTTTTTTTAAATCATATGCAGTAAACAGAAACGTATAGAAAGCATCTTCATTGGTGGAATGGAATTTTTAAAAGTTTTTTTTTAAGAGAAAAAAAAGGAAGTAATCAGACAATTTTATTGATAGGTCACAAGCGTAAATAAGCATTGATTTTACAATATCGCAGCGTAAATTGAGATAGGTTTACGGCAACACTAACAAGGGGGATGTACAGCTTTTAAATATTAAGTTCTCCTGATCCTCTGCAAATAAATATATGAGAAAGAAAATGGAACTATTGAGATGCTGTCTGAAAAAAAAATCTACACCACTTTACTGGTGATGTGAATTTCAAGACAATGATTCCGCACTTAAAGTGTTCAAATAAATGAGCGGGGTTTTTTTTAGAAAGGGGAGGGGGTATGGTGCAGGTACCATTGTGTTTTCAAAGTGGTTATGGTCGAAATAAAAAAGAAATTAATATAGTAAATTAAATACGTAAAAACGAAATTGAACAAGAAAAATCGCAAGGAAAAATAACTTATTTTAAAAAATAAAGAAAATTAAGAGAGAATAAAGATAAAAATAGGAATTAATCCTTGAAAGGCTGAAGTAACACCAATATTGTGCGCGACGTCTTCCCTTTCCGTAGTAATAAAAAAGGAACATTAGCACATACCAAAAAAAGGGGGGGGGATTAAACCATTTAAAATTTTACGATATTATGAAAATTTGTAAGCTCAAGATGTCCTCATATTTATAGTCCGGAACTTCTGCATTTGCCTGAAATAAGATTAATAAACTTCAAATCAGAAAATAAAACTAATGTACATACATGTAAGTCTGATTTAAAATTTTAGATGACCATTATCGCTCTTAATTTTCGACTTAAACAACATCAGCTTTCCCCAAAGTTACTGTGTTTATTTTAATTTACTAGTATTGCAATTAATGTAGACAATGAATACAAGACCTCAAATTAATTTTGAAAATAACCACTGTTTATGATATTCACATTTTATTACACCAGTTTTCAAACCGCAGGGTGTTGCGCAAAAGGTGAAGTCGTTCATGGCTACCGCTTCATCCTTTATGACATGGCTACAGACAAAGTTTCCTAGCTGCTGCTTTTATCCCCCCTCCCTTATTATGTATTGACAAAAAACGCTATTGCAACTATGCTAGTATCAGAGAACTTGATTCGGATACTTAATCTCAGATGACAAACTTTGGGCATTGAGTCGCAAATTCTCGGGCCTTTCTGCCTACCGGAGAAACAACTTGGAATGTGTTACATGTAACCCCCCCCCCTCAAAAAAAAAAAGAAAAAAAAAGAAGAAAAAGAAAAACATAACAAAAAACATTGAAATAAATGCAGGGGATCACTTGACTTATCTGTAGACTGAGCTCAGCCAAAAAAGACGCGATTGTCAGAGCCTAATGAGGAAAACACGTACATGGATTTGTTCATGAACATTTTTGACAGCTGATGAAAAAAGCCATTCATGAACTATCAAAAATTAAATTAGTTTATATATTATTTTTGAAAAATTACCAGAAAATCTATAAATTGACGAGATTATACATTTTTGGGGACAGTTATAGGCTTGTCTATTTTTATTAACATACGTATTACGCAAATATATTTTAGTTTAGCTTTATCGTATGAATATTTTTATCGGCAAACGTACAGATGAAACGTCACGTCTTTGAAGCGCTATTGTGACGTAATTACGTTTATGTCACGAAGGTCCCTTTTCGCTTGACGCAACTCAAATGTATATACTTAACAAATTGTATAACAATGGTTATTTCCTATGTCGATTGGATATATCCTGGTGAGCTTGAGATAAAAGATACCACAGATTCTGACACATCTGTTTCATATTTGGATATAATCTAACAACCAAGCTTTAAGATAAACGTGATGACTTTACTTGTTCCCTTACTTATGCAGCAATATACCTTCATCACCTGCATACGGAGTTTATATCTCTCAGATGATTCGATACGCAAGAGCATTCTCTACGTATGTACAATTTCTAAAAAGAGGTAAATTATTGACAAACAATTTGATGAAACAAGAATATCAGCAGTCTCGTTTATAAAGTCATCATTTCGTAAGTTCTATTGTCGATACAATGACCTTGTCAGCAAATACAATTTATCATTGAGTCAAATGCTGACTGACGTTTTTCATACTAATTGTTAGGCCATTATTTACACATTGACAAGGAGCACATGGCGGGTGTGACCGGTCGGCAGGTGATGTTCACTCCTCCATGGCACCTGATCCCACCTCTGATGTTTTGGAGGTTCGTGCTTGCTCTGCTTGTATTGTTTAATGGAATGCTGAGCTTAAATACTGTTCGTTATCTCAGTATATTTCATGTCTGTGTTTCAAATATGAATATATTGGATTGTAATGCTCTTACATGGAAACGTTGTTTTGTATCTATTTTTAGCTTTATTTTCTGGTCGATTGGCTTCCTGACATGGATGGAGTTCACCTTTTGGGATATCCTGTAAAAAGGGTCTTGTTTCAGTACAGATTAAGCTTCAAAAGGATCACATGAAGTTAAATCATCAATTCCTCCGGAATGATACTCATCAATTATCGGTATACAAGTTTCCAAATTTGATGAAAGTTTTTTCAATGGCTTTATAATTATAATTACAAATCATTACTAAAACATTCCAAAATCACATGCTTTCAGATTTTATTCAGAGTCTTACCTGATATTCATACTGAAAGTCGGTATCCTCTGAGGCAGACATTTTATATATGATGCTTTGTAAATTATTCACTGGTATACATTTATTCGTCGGTGGCCCTCTCTTGGCACACTCATTTTCAACGTCATTGTCTTTTGAGTTATGAATAATGTCTGTATCTTGTACGTTGCTGTCTGTAAAATACATGTATCAGTTTTCTTCTAAACATTAGTTTTTATTTTCTTACTTTATAGTAAAGTTTAAAAAATAGCAATTCACAGTCACCCAAAAGGTACACAGTGAATCTTTTTCTTCAATGCATATGAAAATAAATGTAAAGCACAAAAAATTCCAAGAGAATGTGACAATATAGTCAAATAATACTATTTTTTAAGAATATTTTTCATTGACCACATGAAAATGTTGATGAAGACTTGTTTCATTCTTTTATTTCATACCTAAATGTTAAATGGTCATTTTCAAGTAAAAAAAAAAAGGACAAAATTCAACTTATTTTATTTTCATATTTTGCTCTTTAGCTATCCGAGAAATGAACCCATTCTTCAGGGTCAGGAAAATCTACTTGAAAATGAAATGTTTTTTAAAGTTTTTAAAGTTAATATTTTTTCAAAGAGTAATAATAATAAACAGCTGATACATGTTAAAAATTTGTTAATTATGTTTTGCATACATCCTTACGTTCTGATGATGATTCTCTGTTCACTTGGTCCACAATAGAAATATGCTTCATGTTCAGAACATTTTTCTGTTTAGTTGACGTCTCTGAAGATTTTCTTTTATATCTACAATAATACATATCAATCCATAATGTAAAAGATTTTTTCTTTTTAATTTTCATAGCGTAAAAAAGAACAGTCTTATAAAAAATAAAACATAAATATGAAGCAAGAACTCAAAACGGACAACGATGGCGCACACAACCTTGCTATGAGCTTAAGTGACTACTTTAATTTTTTTTGGCTCACATTACCCTGCTATAAGTACGTACCGGATAACTAAAATGACCAAAACAACAATGATGATGACAACTGCTAACGGACCAACAACCCCAATAGCAGTAAGCGTATCAGATGAAGGAGCATTAGATACCTGATCAGCTCTAACGAGCCCTGCGTGAAAAAAAAAAATAGAAAAGGCATTATTTATTTTCCATTACCATAAAGCAGCACATAGCAAAAAAGAAAAATGTGATGCAAGAGAAAAACCATCCTTGAGTTCCCTCAATTATCATGCAATCATACATGTAAGAACAGATATTTTAAAAAAAGTTTTTTTTTTTAAGTGAGAGAATAGAATAGAAAAATAATGCAAAGTAATTAAAATAGCAATAAAATAAATGCGGAATAAGAAATACATCTTTATATACCTCGATCGCATTTTTCTCCATAAGCTTCTTCTTTGCAACCAAACAAACAACTTCCGTTGAATCTGTCACATGTACGATTAACACAATGTTCACTACAGGGGGTTTGGCAGTTTTCCCCATAGGACTGAGAACATTCTTTGAAAAAAAAGATCCATTAAAGAATTAATGGTAGATGATGAAAATAAAGTATATGTAAAGAATTTAAAACACATGTAAACGGAAATATACATTTGATTCATAAATATGAAACACACGGGCTTTGCATTTTACATGAGTGTTCATAGTACGAAGATTTGGCATAATACACAATAATTTACACTATGATCCTTTTTGTTTGCGTTTTAAGTTAAATTGCACTTTTAAAATATTTTTTTTAAGTTGACGGATATTGTAAAAAAAAAAAAAAAGAAAAAAGAAAAATCACTTTTATAATATTTAATTTACATGGTTTTCATGAACAAAACTGCAACGCGTTATCTCCCCTTTGCATTAATTTAGTTCGTACCTTCACTGCAATTTGAGCCCATCCAACCTTGGGTGCAGATACAAGATCCGTCTGTGAATTTACATGTACTTTTGCATCTCAGAGAGCAAATACCAGAACAATTTCTTCCAAAATACCCGGACTGACAGGCTAAAACGATTTTTATTAATGTGTTGAAAAACCCAACTGTAATTTGATTTTTCTCAGCACGAGGAGTAAATATAATTACGTACAATCATGTCATATCATGCTAAATAAAAACATTTTTTTTATGTCTAAATAGTGTCTTGACAAAAAAAAGTAATGGATCACTTGATTAAAACTTGTTAATTCAATGGGCTTATATATGTGACTTTATCTGAGAGTAGCATAAAGTTTCGAAGGAGGAGATTGATCCTCATTAGATATGGATATCGTGTTTGGGTCATGGCTCATAAGTTCTTGAGCAGAATAATTGACGTTTTCATATAATGTGCATCATTCATTACATGGCCTTTTAAGGCAAATTGAACAGAGACAAAATTTCATATGTCTTACAGGGCATTATTTGTCACATTACAAAGGTGACAGCCAAAGGATAATAATACTGCGCATAAACTTTCACCTAGTTTGTAACTTCACATAAATCAAATGTATTTATTTAAGATATTTCTATGAATCAATTATGGCAAAAAATGTTATTTGTTTGTTTGTTTATTGTTTAACGCCCCTCTCGAGAATTTTTCACTCATATGGAGACGCCACCACTTGCCGGTGAAGAGCTGCAAATTTTGACCTAAATTCGGCACTCAGGGCCATTGAGCAGTAAGGGATCTTTTTCGTGCCAGTACCAACTGCGACATTGGACCTCGAATTATACGGTCTCATCCGAAGGAAAATAAAACGCCCGTCACCAGCTTCAAATTTTCTTTGATCTATTTCATAATATGATTAAAAGACTTTCGTTATTGTACGATTGATTCAAGATCACATCATCAAGTTATTTATATTATTAACTGCAAAATGCTTTATACATTTAAGTGGAGAGGATGAGATACCTAATATCTTTTATCTATTTACAGATTAAAATAGAAAGTGAATTATATTTACTTGAGCTTTTGCTTACATTTGTTACACCTTCCTCCGATATATCCATCTTTGCATCCACTTGTACAAATTCCGTCCGTGTGTTTACAGATCTCATCATTCCAACAATTCTGGCTGCAAAGTTCCCTGCATTGGTTCCCAAAGTATCCTAGGGTGCATGCTGTTGAAATGCAAATGGGGAATCAAAAACTGAATGATGATTTGCAATTGTAATTTCTATATTATAATTGTGTAAAACATTTTCCTATGCAAATGAGATATTCTAGCTTTTTTTTTTCTTTTATTTACCTAAGTTACATAAATCCCCTGTGTATCCTGGTTTACACCCTGTGTCACAGTGTCCAGTTTGTTTGTTACAATGGGAATCATTTAGACAGTGACCGCTGCAGTTATTTACACAACCTGGACCGTAGTTTCCATCTTTACATGCTGTTAACAATTACCATATGCAGTAAATTTTATCAAACCTTGAATATATTTTTTTAATATTAATTTTATTATAATTGCTATAATAAGTTTTTAAACGTTTTATAACGTTAACACATTGAGCCATCAAGAATCTTTGGGTATGCCAAGTTAAAATTCTTTTTTTTTCTTTTCAAACTATGTAATTTTAATGCAAGTTAAAAAGAATAGATGTTGTTCAGTAAACAATGTAAATTATATTGATGATATGAAATGAACTAACAATAAGGAAATTGGTCGTTATTTGTCTTTCATGTACTGTATAGTTGAAATTATAGCAAAGATCAAAAGTACAAAGAAATATATCTATTTACATTCTTCACAATTCCTTCCTATCCATCCGTCAGCACATCCATTGTCACAACGACCGGTCACATGATCGCAGATGTCATTGTTTCTACAATGACCGGAACACTGTTTTTTACAACCATGCCCATACCATCCCCTTGGACACACTGTTTAAAAAAAATGAAGCTATTTCACTTTCACAGGGGATTTGCTGTATGAAGATGCCAACTATAATTTCATTTTAACAGTATAATAATAAACTTACCACTTTTGCATAACATTCCAGTCCATCCTGGCCTACATCTCAGGCATGTTCCATTTATAATATTACATCTTTGGTTTTCACAGTTGAGAGAACACATTTTTTCACAATTCATCCCATAAAAAGTTTCGTTGCACCCTAATAAAAACCAATTTCAATTTTAATTTCTCATGTAAGAAATAGAAGCCTTGTCATCGATTGCAAATATTAATGTTTCTAAATTTTTAAAAATCATTGCTATTTGGAGCTTATTATACCCCAATTAATCTCAAATATTTGATATTTTTAAAAAGAGCTATAAACGCAACTAATGTACATATGTATAGGTATTTATCTAAAACTTGGTCGCATAATCAAAATGCAACAACTTTATAGAACATATTTATTATGGAATGTATGTGTAGCATGAAGTAGGAAAATGTATAACTTAACAACTTCAGAGCAATTAATTTGAAACCTATTTTACAAGATTTTAGAGTTTACAACTATTTAATATACAGAACCAGTGAACTTAAAATAGTGTCCTGACATTTAATATATCAAATTCATAATATGAAATGCAGATTAATGGGAAATTAATACTGATGTGTGAAAAGGAGATTTATAGACAAACAAACGCTGATTACATGTATTTACATGCAAACGAGAAAAACCTGCTTCAATGTTTCTCCTTTGTTATCAATGGTTGTTACATTTTGACATTAAAAATTCACCAAGTGACTTTTTACTTGAGGTAACTGTGAATACTAAATTCTACCACGTGACTTGTAAGATAGAATTGTTACAACGCAAAATGTAATAACAACGCAAAATGTAATAAACCGGGATGATGACATTTTGCTTTATTACATTTCGCGTCGAAATCAGCACAGAATGTAATGACGCAAAATGTAATAATTTAATAAGAACTTTTAGGAATATTACATTTTGCGAAATTACGTTTGGCGTTGATATCAAGCAAAATCTAATAACGCAAATTGTAATAAGCTATTTTTTTGAATATTGTATTTTTTATTATTATATTTTGCGTCGATATTAAGCAAAACGCAACAATGCAAAATGTCAAAACACACTTTTTGGTCAGTGCTGTTGAGAATGATTTTCACACCAATGATTATATATTGCTTTATTATAAATCGTTTCCTGATCTACGAAGTAATGCAAGTTCCATTTCAAGGGATCAAATTATTTCCGGGCTTTCAGACACGACAATTTTTATTAATTTGAAATGCAAAAGGACATATCCATGTCTTATGTTTACGTATATTTGAGTAACTAGCATTTGATTCGCCAATATTATCATTGATTAATTTCACCAATTTTAAATCATCTTTGCATTCGGTACCACTAGTATTCAGTGGATTTATAATTTTTATGATAATAATGTGTAATGCAAAAATTTACTGGGAAACAAAAACTTAGAATTCTATGAGATAAAGCTTTATTTATGCATAAACAAAGGAAAATTATATAAAGTACCTGAAAAGCATTTCATATTCCTAACCCACTCATCCACTTCAGCACATTCCTATTCATATTTCATAATATTAAAGATATGTTTAAATCAATTTTATGATGTCTTGCGTTCAACACAATACAAAACATTATTGTTGTGCGTTGTTACATTTTCATTTTATTATATTTTGCGTTGCCCTGAAATTAAAAATTAAATAACACAAAATGTAATAATCAAAAAGTGCATTATAACATTCTGCGTTAATCTCCATGTAAAATGTTATAAGGCAAATTGTAATAGTCCTAAAAAGCCTGTTTTTACATTTTGCATTATTACAATTTGCGTTGTTCTCGGCGCAAAATATAACAACGACAATGTAATAATTCCAGTTAATTTCATTTTGCGTTGTTATTATTTTTGTGCTAAGTAGGATGTTGTCTTCGAACACGTTAAATTATGAGACATTTATTAAAAATCTTCTTTACTAACAAGGTCGTGTTTATTTCGTTTTGAAACCTTTGTAAATAGTGTACTTGTGCCATAATGATTAAAGAGGGAGATTGAAATTTGTAATCACGTATTTTTATGCATGTCATTGTTATCTACCTAGTCCAATTTAAGACAATTCTTACTATACGTATCTTATGTTCAATCAAGAGCGTGAACATTAAGTGTAATTTCTCTCTGTTTGGAAAGCGGAAAGAATAAAAAGTTCTTTTATTTTATCATAGTCTTAAATCATTTGAATTGATTAAACCATTTAATTTTTTTTCAAATAGAGAGTCTTGTTTAATAAATACATGGAGATAAGATGATATTGTGATATACGTAAAGCTACAGAAGTGACCGAAAATGACCCAAAAATCCTGCATTGTTAAGACATCCTTTCCAAAAAGAAATGAACTGAGAATTATTGAAAGATCGTATTGATTTGCAATGCCAGTTAGCAAAGTAAGTATCTGACTCGTGAAACCTGTTACAATCACTTCGCATAACTCTGTATAAGAAGTATTTTCGTATCCATCTGGGTAGTTAACTCCATCCAACCGTTCATTGTAAAAGATGACATATCGTCCGTATCTGGTACAAGTTGTTGTGAAATTTAGTGACGGTAACTCTGGGCCGTCTTTGTAACAAAGTGATTCGTTTTCTCTTTCTGAAGACTCTGATAATAACAGTGAAAATCCAGCAAAGCGGCCTATTTGTCGATCCCCTGGAAAAAAATAGACTTTCAAAACAATAAATGAAAATTTCAAGAAAACTATTGAAAGTTGATTATTTTAATTTATAAGACAATGGAATCAAAATATCTTATTCATTCTCATGCATGTTTCTACACGCGGTTTTGTTATTTTTTTTAATGAAAAAATGAAGTTATCAGGAGATCCCCTTTTATTGTTTTATTTTGAACGTAAACCTCCTCCTAGAAATTATTATTTTCAGACACATTCTGCTATGTATATGAATGTCCCGATAGCATCTACCAAAATAATTATTATCCTTGATACGATTATATATTGCATTTTTAAAGGGACTATAATTGTCACGTAGGTTTATTGAAGTTTATTAACTCATATCTATACATCCATGATTCCTGCACCAGTGCACGTGTATATAAAAAGGTTTAAGTAAGTTTTCCCATGTTTTTTTTTAAATTAGAAGATAGAATAAGAATTCGACTAGGATGTTCTTTAGAAGAAGCAGTTTTTAATTTCTTAAAAAAAAATTGTTGTACCCTGTAATTGTAGAAAATTAAATTTCTATTATTAAAGTAAGTTCTATTGCAAGTATTGTTGAAATTGACCTAGTGCTTTTAAAGAATATTTATCTAATACTTGAAGATCGCGTTAAAGCAGACGATACATTTTTTTTTGAAAAATACAGACACACAAGCGATATAATATAGGTAAAAAAAATTTTGAAATTGATGGGTTATTCAGTTTGCATGATTCAATGATATAAATACTGCATGTAGTTGAGTGTAACATTGAAAATTTTCACCCCAAGAAAACCATTGTCAACCGAGGCGCAGCCGAGGTTGACAATGGTTTTCTTGGGGTGAAAATTTTCAATGTTACACTCAACTACATGCAGTACTTATTATATTATAGTGAATGTCTTATACAAATACACATTTCAGTGAACCTTGCGCGCATAAATTCTGCGCAGTAAATATTCTTTTTTTTAATATCACCCGTCATCAGGTAATGTCGACTGTTGCTATGCTGGAGGGCGTGGCTTCATTATTCAGCGGGTAATAGTGTTTTTTATAACCCCGGATCGAAAGATACTGGAGGTATATTGTTTTTGTCCTGTCCGTCTGTTTGTCTGTCTGTTGTCAACTTTAACCTTGCCCATAACTTTTGAATGTTTGAAGCTATGACTTTCATATTTCAGATGTGTATTCCTTGTGACAAGACTTTTCTTTGGATACCATCATATTTGACCTTTTGACCTTGACCTTGGAGTTTGACTCACTTTTGCAAAATTTATGAGACTTTAACCTTGGCCATAACTTCTGAACAGTTGGAGCTTGGGGTTTCAAACTTCACATGTGTATTCTTTGTGACAAGGCCTTCCTTTGGATACCAACAACTTTGACCCTTTGACCTTGATCTAGGAGTTTGACGTACTTTTGAAAAACTTTAACCTTGGCCATAACTTTTGAACAGTTGGTGCTTAGGGTTTCAAACTTCACATGTGTATTCTTTGTGACAAGACCTTCCTCTGGATATCAACCTCTTTGACCCTTTGACCTTGATCTAGGAGTTTGTTGTACTTTTGAAAAACTTTAACCCTGGCCATAACTTTTGATTGGTTGGTGCTAGGGCTTTCATATTTCACATGTGCAGTCCTTGTGACAAGACCTTTCCTTGGATACCAACAACTTTGACCCTTTTATACCTTGGAGTTTGTCCTACTTTTGGAAAACTTTAACCTTGGCTGTAACTTTTGAACTGTTGGTGCTAGGGCTTTCATACTTCACATGTGTAATCCTTCGCAGCTAGGTTAAGGACTCCCATATATACTTCAGTCTATGCAGAGGTTCGGGAGGGCTATTATGACGTCACGTTAAAAACAATACAAATGAATCTCGATGAATAAATACTATATGTTCTTTTTAAAACACACTAAATACTTTCGTTTCTCATAAGTGTTATAAAGATACATGGATGTGCAACTTATCTTGCCATAATACCACTTAGCGTATGCAGAATGAAAGCCAGCTTGATCTCGCTGTACTTACTGAGATGACGTCATTTCTTAGTTTGACACGCAGTTTCTCTGTATTTGAGGCGTGGATCAAGCTTTTATCGTAGCTTGTAAAAATAAAAATAAATACGAAACATGCGTAGTCAGACAAAAAGAGAGACATATTCTGAAATATATTAATCCACATTTTATTGTCAAACTAAATTGATAATGTGTAGACTTTAGATATAGCCGTAGGGAGTACATTTGTACAGTAACGTGCTAGAATGAGGGGTCCAGCCCCTCGAAAATATCAAAAGTTCAACGATATCCGCTTCACTATAAATTCTGAATTTTTAAACACATGTAGCTATTATTCCTACTATTCTGAAAAGTGCTGGGAGCTGGTTGTACATTGTTTATTTACCGTATAACGGTTTTTTTCTGCGGTTGGAAATTTTTGCGATTTAACCCCTAAAAGATAGCAAATTAATTTCTGCGTTTTCAATTTCTGCGGTTGCATTATAACGCAAAAAATTATTTACTGGGTATGATCACCAAACTCTAAGAATTATCAGATAGCTGCCATGTTTACGTTTTATAAATTCATTGAGTCATACGCAGGACTGTTAAGGCTTACTACGAAGAAATCAAAGGAATATAAACGTGCATAAATACATACCTTTTTAAACTGAATTTATTTTTGTAAAGCTACTATATTATCACATGACTTTAATTTTAATTGAAATAACATTGTATACCCCGCTCTGTACGGAATTTGGTTTGGTCACGTTATTTGACAGTCACGTGATAAATGCATGTACTGTGTACTGTATGTAGGTCATAAACAAATTTCAATATCGCAAGGGCATACCCTAGTTAGAATTAAAAATTTCAGTAATAAATTGTATCTATATAACTTGTACTTTATGGAAAGTGCTGCTGCTTTAAATATAATTCGCATTTTATTAGTTTAAATTTCAAGTTATTTGGCTGTAGTCGAAATATGTGTGACCTTTACCATGTATTTTATTTATTTATTTATTAATGCTCTCGATTTCTGGAAAGCAGCAGCACTTTTCAAGTTAAGGAATGTTTCCGTTATGCATATTCAAAAAATGGTCAAGATCTATCAAGTGTATGCCCTTGCGAAAAGGCGATTTAATGAGGCACCTCGGCGTGAAACATGCACACCCTATAGACAAAAACACGGTAGAATTAATTCAATACATTCTCTCGATACTTTTTAAATAATGGCTCTAAACAAAGGTTTCCGATTTGTATTAATGGTCTACCTCAGATTTTTAAATAATATTTTGCTTAATAATAAAATCCGTTTTTCTCTGTGGAAAAATTACTTGATCCGCCTCTCACTGCACATAAAATGCGTCAAATTTTACCATGATGACGTCATGTCGACAAGTGTATTGCGATCAGTGACTTGTTGATATTTTGCTGTGTGGGATTTAACTAGCGACAAAAATGAATGCAGTGGTAAGTTTTGATGAAGTTCATCACTCTTATGCAGTTTAAAACCGCAAATTATTTCATTTTCTGTTGTTGTGAGGAACTGCTATATTTGTGTGATGTCACAGTAGACATTTCCCGTGTAAATTAGGCCCCGCCCCCTTTATGCAGCCTTAACAGAGCTGCGTATTGATCAAAGGTGCATGAGAACCGGTATTAAGCTATTAAGCTTAATTAAACTACAATCTTTTAGTCAGTCTTTGAAAAATTATGTCGAGTCCCAACTGAAATGAGTATCAGTCCACCCAAACAACATGAAAATCTTTATTCTACATTGTTACAAACGTTTTATGCGATCTATTAAAATATTTAAATATATAGATAATTAGTGCATCCAGGCCATATTCTAAAAATACACTTATAGTTAATTGCCATCAAAATTAACCTGGTGTTTATATTTTAAGCTCAAACAAACAGTTGCATAATCAAGTAACCTAAAGTTGACCGTTTACAATCACAGGTGCCATGTGCAATGAGGCGTAACTAATCTTGTCAGTCGTCTGCACTGAGTGAAATTCACGAGACAATCAAGCCACATTGTGTATACAAGCAGTAATTATGGTCTCAAGATAAAACACAAAATTGACAAAAGTGTTAAAGAAAGAAAGAAAAGCTACTATGTGCTATTTGCAGCTATCGGAGTTTGGACTAATAATTGCGAAGTCTCTTTTAGTCATTTACATGTACATGTATATCCGACGTGTAAAATAAAGAAATAGGTACAAGAAAAGATGTTTTTGTATAAAATTATTAAATTGATATTATTTACAGGAACGTTTTGATTCAATATGTTTTGGACAAATCCTGACATCTAAATCTTCGAATTTCGATGACACCCGAATTTTCTCGCTAACGAGGACGTGTCCACTCATGAGTCTGCGGACGCATCGTTTTTAAGAACCTTGCGTCCCAAATAACTTTGCTGCGTCCAGTACGCAGGTTCTTGTGTTAATGAGAATCCTGTGACATACGCACAACTTCTCATACTTGCATGTATAAAATATATATCTGAAGAAATATTGAAATATATTTTGCGATTGTAATTTCTGCGGATTTGTCCTATCCGCAAAATTCCGCAAAAATTGGACAACCGCAGAAAATACCCGTTATACGGTATTCCTTAATCTAACATTCCAATGCGTATTACATTTTTGTTTGGAGTTTATAGAAAGATGGCTAAATTTTAAACAATTCTCGAGCATGAGGAAGTTGCTCCCAGCACTTTTCGGGTTAAGGAATTTGTCTCAAAGAAAACAAAATAAATTTTATAGCGGAAAGATGCCCGTATATCGTTGAACTTTTACGATCTTTGTAGTAGTACATATATGGTCCAATTTTAAACCTGTCACGTGACAAACAGCTGATGTAAGCGATGTCAATTTGGCCAAACTCAGCAGAGAACCGATATATACAAATGCAATCACCACAATTCACATTTATCAAAACTACTGCTGTTTAAAAAATATTAAAATTGTATTCATTTTCCCTGAATATATAAAGGCGTATATTTCATGGGCGTCCTTAACCTAGCTGCGTTGTGACAAGACCTTTCTTTGGATACCAACAGCTTTGACCCTTTGATTTTGACCTTGGAGTTTGACCTTCTTTTGGAAGAACTTTAACCTTGACCATTACTTTTGAACGATTGGTGCTTCGGCTTTCATATTTCACCTGTGTATTTCTTGAGAGAAGGCCTTTCTTTGGCACCATTAATTTTGACCATTTTACCTTGACCTTGATGTTTGACATACTTTTGAAAAAAAACTTTAACTTTTCCATATCTATTCAATGGTTGCTGCTAGGCCTTTCATATTTTACAGGTTTATTCCTCCAGACAAGACCTTACTTTGGGTATCAACATATTTGATTTGCATTTGAGAAAGTTTAACCTTTGCTATAAGTTGCCATACGGGGGCATCAGTGTTTTACAAACACATCTTGTTAACAAATATTTCTCGACGAATCAGATTCAACTAATTTACATGAAAGTATAATATTTAAGAATACCAAGCTGAAAAGGGGTTAAAAGGCTCATAGATTTTAATTTCCAGCCCTTCTCTGGCACGTGGTGGCGTCTCAATATAATTGCACAAAAAAAACCCCATATATTTAAAAAAATATATAAAACCCTATTCATATTCTAATATATTTGGAACGATTCTTGTCAACTTCCATATTTCATATTTCTGCTTAGAAATCCATTATGGAAAGAATAATTCGCTTTTTAACCATGGATATTCAAAACATAAAATTGTAACTGTAGGGCACAGATTTAATTATTTAAAGCAATATGAGCTGCAACTTTGATGTCAAAATTTTTTGTTGCAATATTGTAACTATATCAGTGACAGAAAAAAGAACGCTAATGAACTTCTGTTGTTAATAGCGACTTATAAATAATATACGACGTCATGTGACGTAAGAAAATCTAGATGCACCAAATGTCACGTGCGGTTTGAAAAGACGGGTCTAAATAGAAAATAGTACACTGAAAAGGTGTATCTGCGGTCGCCCTAACGGTCGCACCGTCAACATATTATTTGTGATGGAAAAACTATTTATAAGCTTTGATTGAAGCAAAATTATACATTATTGTCATCCCGTACAATATTGATTTCTTATATAATACTATACATTCCATTATACACAAATCTTTCTTCTGAAAAAAAAAATACTTTATTTAAGTCTAATTGATCATAAATGTTTAAATTAGATACAGATTTATCATGACAGCACGTGTTACATGTAATAGCAAAATAAATGCTCAAAAATGCAGCTCATATTGCTTTAATCAGTATCATTAAATTGAGGCAAGAGCTGCTTTTTTAGGACATAGTTATATATAATATATGAAAAAATAAATGACAATAGCTCTAGATCCCTCTTCCACAAAAATTCTCAATATTAAAATTATCGTTCTTTGGAATTGTAAAGATTCCTTTATTACTTTACTTTTGACATGACAGTGTGTATTTATTAAGATCAGATTAAATGTGAAATCTTACTGTGTTCAGGAATGTCCTTAAACAGTATATTTATGCTATATATACTGTAAATAGCACCCAAATCCACTTTCCATCTCCCAGTCTTATCCTCAGAACGTCCTCCTATCACACTTTGTCTTGTACACGTGTCTTTATCTCTATCCACTGCATTTTTTGAGATATACTGGTCTTTACATTCACGATGTGGACATGGCCAGGTTAAAGTCTGACTAGTTGCTTTCTCTCTCGACAGATCCACTTTAGGAAAATATAAACAGATTATTGTTCATATCGTTGCATGAAGCAATATCATTTGGTTTAATTAATAGAAAAACGAGAGAGAGAGAGAGAGAGAGAGAGAGAGAGAGGTTGCTTAACGCCAATTCTGCAATATTTAACGGTTAGAGTAAAAAACAGAAAGGTTTATGATTTACTGGAACATAAAAGAAACATAGATATATCCTTCTTTTTTTAAACAAAAACTTATAAAGTTTAGTGCTAATATTTTTTGTTTATTTAAGCAATTACGATTTTGGAGTGGATTTAGCGTTTACTTTTTTCAATTTTTTTTAAATTAAAAACTGCTTCATTCTGCAAAACCAAAGATTGATGAATTAAAAAAAAATATACTGTGTAATGAGTTTAATGGAATCAATGGAAATTTGACAATGTTAGACAACAGTAGTCTTTGTATATTAAAACATCGTCTCTAATATGATTAAGACTGTATTTTGTAAAAGTTACGTACTTACTTACGGAGGATGCAAACCATATACTAGATTACATGTACGTATCTGTGTTACCGTTGTAGTTTCGTTTCAGATAATTAACTAAGATTAACACATTTACGATATAGCTACCCAAGTAACTTACTCACCAATTATCTCTTTTTCACACATTTTCCCTTCACTCTCGCACGCTCTTTTTGATAAACATTGTTATAATTGCGCTGCTCATGTTTGATATTCTTGTAAACATTTCTTTCCTAGTGATTCATTTAAAATATAAGAATGACATATGTGTAGCAAAATCGTAGTCTTTTAAGAATAATATGTACGAACATAATGTTAGGTGGAAAAAGTCACAAGGTATAGAAAATATTATAAATAAATAGAATACTTGTTGTGTTAAAAACTACGTACCGTATCCAGAAGAGACAGAAAATCCAATTAGAAGCGCCATTTTTATTAAAATATACCTTATGAGGCACATGATTTCTTCTGTTTACATGTACCAAGCTTACTAAACGGGAAGTTTAAAAGACATTTTAAAAAGTCGTCATATGGTGAAACATTTCTGTCGTATTTAATGTTGAAAGCAAACATTATCTATATGGTCTTACAATACAAAGAAGAAAAAAAAAACTCAGTTGTATTTTAAGAAATTTCGTTCAATATTTCAACATACTCGTACTTATATGTAATTGAAATCCAGTCCAAACGAAGACTTAAGGGTAAGAACTTAAGCAATTATATTACATATAGGGCGAGAATGACAGAATTATTGATTATTAATTTCATTAGGAAAAATACGATTAAAAAAAAGGAGACATTTAAATATCGTATTAGCAGAAATTTTGGCATTTTAGGGAGGATGTTGAGATCGCTTAGTTTAAAAATCGCCAACAATTTATTTCGCAAAGAGTTAACCATTATTTTTCTATGCACAATAAAATCGCTAAAATTACATCTTGCTTAAATCAAATATTTATTTTTAAGGAGAAATCTCTACGTTTGCTTAGCTAAAAAAATTGCACTTATACGGTATATATGTAATTTTATACATTTCCTAAAATTGAAATCATTATGAAGAAAATATTCTTATCTACTGTATTTGCTCGCAGTGGAGATCTGTATAGTACGCTATATTGCTTCCACAAATGCATTCCTCAAGTGCTTGGCGCACGATAAAGAAGAATATATATATATTTTTTAAATTCTACATCCGGCTTTATTTTTTTTTGAATATGCTTAACCTTTATAAGAGTATTGTGAATGAGAATCACCTGATGTTACCTTTGTTCGAATGTTATCTCTTAAATTGATTGGAAAAAAAATCTGTGCGGCAAAATAAAGTGACAGTTGAAACCAGGTCAACAGATTTTCTATGATATCACAAAATGCCATTCCATGAAACGTTACTTCCTGGTAAAGACAAACATTTCATTTTTTGACTACTTATATATCCTTCCGGTACAGCGTATACTTTGAATAAATGATTGAAAGGCCATATTCTATATGTCTTTCTCTTAAGATAAAAAGTTAGAATGTACCTATTTTTAGATATATGAGTTTTGTTAAAAATGATAAAATTAAGTAAAATAAGATCATGTACTTTTATCGAAATAAAACTTTCTGATTTTTAAATCATACACAGTACACACAGAAATGAAGTTGATTAAATATATATGTTCTTGATTACGTCTCCCAGCACCAAATATATATGATGCTTTTAAGGAGGCTGGATCCTGTTATCAAAAGTATTGAAATTATTTTTAGACCATCACTGAGCGATGGAAAAAACGAAACTTAACACCTACTGGAAGAATCACGTTGATTAAATCACTACTTATATCACAGCTTAATCATTTATTTATTACTATAACAAACCCACCTTCAGGTGTTGTAGAAAGATCTAAACAAATTGATTTTTAATTTTTTATGGAAGTCAAATGTAGACAAAATAAAAAGAAAAGTTGTGACTCAGGGGGTCGTAACATAAAGGGTACTTAAGTCTAAGACCATGTTTAAGTAGGACTTAAGTACAGTCTTAAACTTTAGACCGTAACTAGAAACGTGCTAATATTTGACAATCTTAGCAAAACTTAGGCGGCCGGTAGAGGTGACTTAAGTATGTCTTAACTTTCTTAAACATATATTTAGAACTATTTAAGGTTGTCTTTATATGTTAAAACATCCCTCTATTTATATTATGCATCAAAAAATAATTTTCTATATTTAAATATACTGGTATAAGAATTTTAGTTTTTTGGCGGGGGGAGGGGGGATTCATCACTGATTCCAATGTCACTCTCCATATGACATATACATGTAAATGCAAAATATTATCATGCAGTTAGTGAAAGCCTAAGAGGAGTAGACACATTCTTTACCGCTAAGTAAATTATCAAGAATTTCCTGTTATTCAATATTAGTAATTTCATTTCATTGTATATAGTGCGCTGCAATATTTGTGATGCATTATAGTGTTAGAATAGCATGGCTTGTAACGGAGATAAGTTTTTCTTCTTCAAAATAATATTCGTCCTGTACTCAGTAGCAAACTCCTACGGATACGGTGAGTATCTCTAAATATTAAATGCATTACGGGTTGATTTTGAAATAGGAGCAAACAGTTATCAAATATCTAACTCATCAAAACTAAACTCATTAATTCCCTATATTTATTTTTCAATTCCAAAGTCACAATTTTAAAGAAATCAACATATTTTCGAGGAGTTGAATTTTTAAAGGTATTTTGTGTGTGTGTGTGCGTGTGTGGAGGGGGGGGGGTGGTTCGAAGAAATGCGGGGTTGTTAAACATTCAAAAGTTTTCACTTTCTAGAGGACATGAATTCATGGGTCTCTTCATGCCACGAAAATAGAAAAAGAAAATTAAACCCTAGGCTAATAAAAATAAGCTATTTTACAATATGTCTTTAATCGAGTGCTGAAATAACCATTTATGAAAAAGAAAATCCAGTGCTCTATATGAGACAAAATAAAAAAAAGAATAATTAAAAAAAAGAATATTAAAAAAATTAATATTTTAAAAAACTTTAAAAATGTGATTTAAAAAAGAAATTTTTACGCTACATAGCGCAGTAATTTTTATAAAATAATGGGCAATAGAAGAGAATAATCAAATTCCACCTGGCACAATTTTGATATAGCCATTCATATAGCGATAATTCAATAATAGCAGAAGCTCCTTAACAAGATGTACTTGTATTAAGTACATGTATGATGAAAGTGGCTATTAAAACTTATTTGCAAAAAAATATAACATCTCCTTACATTTTCATTCTAAATGCATCTTTTTTTTCATTTATTTCATTCAAGAAGAAAAGATATAGGATATATGCATAATGTTGCTGATAATAATTAAAAAACTTTTTTTTTAAGGTAAAACATATTGGGGTTTGTCTTCCGACTTATCTGATGCTCTGACTCTTTTTTTTACTTTAATGCTTAAGTATCAAAAGTCTTTGCTCTGGAATTAAATTACGTTATTTTGTACAACTTTTATAACATGAAATCGTCCCCAAAATGTCTTTCATGAACTGAATCTGAAAATCATTCCTGATTAAATGATAAGAAATAAAGTGTAAACCGAAGCTTTTGAATATTATTGCGCAATATTTGAAACCTTTTATTATGTAACTTTCAAATATAAGAAAGATCAGGAAACTTTTAACATATATAATTAATTGTATAGAATACATGTATGTATGTTATTGTCTACCGAAGACAGTAAGTGTAAAATTTACAATATAATAACTAAATAGTAATGTTTGTACTGACTGCTACCCGGTAAATTTTAAAATCTAGAATTAGAAATTTGAATAAGATGTATTTGTCTAGCTTTAAACCATGAATTACAAACCAAATTTAACAAATTAACGGGGAAATATTAAAGACTCCAAAGAGACTGGACCTGTTTCATATTTGGATGTTTTTATTAAACAAGACATTGATTGAAAACTTACAATTAAACTTAATGATAAACGAGATGACTTTTCTAATGTCAACTTCCGTTAGTTATGTCCCAATATACCAATATCAACTCTCCCAGTTGATTCAATACATAAGAGCATGTTCTACGTACGATACAATTCTTAAGAAGCATGCTAATTACAAGTAAGTTGATGATACATGGATATCAAGAATTTCGTTTAAAGTCAAAATTTCGCATATCAATACAATGACCTTATATGCAGTTACAATCTATCGTTAAATCGAATCTTGACTGAAGTCTTTCATATATATGAATTGTTAGACCATAATTCTATACTGAATTCTCTACGGATTTTCCCGTTTACCCGATCATGATAAAGAGCACACAGCAGGCGTGGCCGGTTGACAAGAGATGCTGTCTCCTCCATGGCACCTGATCTCTTCGCTGTTGTCAGGAGCCGTGTTTGCTCTACTTACAATTTATATTCTTTGATTTGAATTTGAGCATGATTGCTGTTCCTTATCTTCACTTTTCATTAATGAACAATGTGAAACGACGCCATCCTATGCAAAATAATCATGCCAATTTTGATTTTATGGTATTTAGTATGTCCCAACTATCTGTAGAGGTACATATACCCATAAGAATTAATTAAGAATGATAGGATTGATATCGTGTTATCGCTGTTGAAACATTGATAACCAATAAAGTCCATTATTCTGGACAAATGGAACAATATAATACATAATTATACTCCAAAGAAGAGGGGAGGTGGGAGTATACTGTTTTACCATATTGTGTCTGTCTGTCTGTAATAAATTCTAATCGCAGATTTCTCAGAATCTACTCTTTGCAGATGCTTGAAATTTTAGGACAATCTTTGCGTTCAAAGGTCATATGATGGTGTTTATTTCTGTACGAATTCGATGTCAACTTCATGTTTATCAGTGCGTATGTCTGTACCAAATTTCCGTCGCTATGTTCTCAGCATCTACGGTACTCTTCGCTGATGCTTGAAATTTTAGCACACTTTTTGTCTAGGCAATGTATTTGGTGGGATTCATTTTTGTACGAATCCGATGTCAACTTCCTGTTTATATTTGCGTTTGTTCGTACCAAATGCCCAAAAAGTTTGTAATAGAACCTTTTGATCAATGTGAATGTTCCATAATGGATTTATATTGTTAGTACATATCATATGATGATGTAATTAAAAATATAGACAGTATATTTTTAACAAGATGCTTATGTTCTCATGTTTCGATACTGTGGACATTGACTTCCTGAATAAATTTTAATGTTGATTAAAAATGATGAATCTTAAATGAAAAAAAAAATCATAGTAAGTACAAAATTTCTTAAACATAACTTGTGTATATCTCATGAGAGCGTATATTCACATCAGAGCGGATGATATTACTTGTTAGCATTGGCTCACAGACTTCTTGTTATATAATATATAAATTATTTTTATTTTAAGTAAAACAATGTTCCATCATTTTCAAGAAGTGTCACTACAGATGCAACATAATATTTATAATTAATTTATTATTGCGATACTATAAGATACATGTACATTGTATACAACAGTACAATTACAATTTTCTTGGCTCACAGAAAAGAGTAAAATGCCATGTCATCATTGACAAAAACCGACTGTTTGCAATGCCAGAAACTTGGCCAATTATGTAATTATTTCAAGATAATGAGAATACACTCTATAATTTTGTATCATATGACTACCAACAGTTATACCCTTTACCTTAACGGGAACCTCTGTAAAAAAAAATTACATACTTGATAGTCAAAAATATACCTTTATATGATGAATTTTAATCATCAACTGTGCTTACTAACCATAACTCTTAATTTGACCCTAAGACTTTCTTCATGTGTCATTTTGCAATTTATCAATCGAATTACCAGCTGATTTTATGAAAAGAGGTCCATTTCAACTCAATTTTTTTTTGTTTCATTTCTGCTTAAATAAATATTCATTATTATCCAGGTTTTTCTGACATACAAAGTTTGGTTATCATAGACATTTTTTTAAAACCAAAAACCAAAAAAAAAAAAAATAAAAAAATAAAAAAAAAAACAAAAAACAAAACAAAACAAAAACAAACAAACAAACAAGCAAAAAAAAAAAAAAAAAAAAAAAAAAAAAAAAAAAAAAAAAAAAAAAACCGCAGATTTCATATGTTCATTAATACCAATTTATATATCTAATATTTACATTTGCCAATGTTTTTCCTTATATAACAATACTAATTAAATTGAAATTCATTTTTTAATGACATGCAGTTGGTCACATGATTAGACTTTCTTGCGGTTGGAAAGCAAACTGCACGCGTCATTTGGAAAGTTCCGATTGTGACGTCACATGATGTCGTAGGTACGTCATGTTGCATTTCCATAACAAAGGCTAAATAGTGCCTATATTTCTTTGTAACACGAATAAAAAAGTAAAATATAAATATGAGAAAAAAAACCCATTTTTTAGAGTTTCATTGAGTTATTACATGAAGTCGGTACGTGATCAAATCTACTTTAACGCCCTTCGGGCGTTATAGGATTTCATCACGTGACCGACTTCATGTCATACTTCAATGAAACCCTAAAAATGATATCTTATTTCTTAATTGGTGTCTTGTTTGTTTCTCTTCCTCTATATTCTTCTGAGAAATGTTGTTTTACATCATACTGGTATAATACACAAGTGCGTTTTTCCCCTTGGGATTAATTTATGCTACTTACACGGTCACGTATTCTCCGCAGAAATTTGTTATTGCGTACATTAAGGGCATTTAAATATGAAATAGCAATTGAAGAAGTCTGTGTCTTTTTGAAACCGCGGAAAAAACTGAAATTGTAATTCTGCGTTATGACCCCTTCGAAAATAGCCCGCGTGGCGCAGTGGTTAGAGCGTCTGCTCTAGAGTCGCGGAGTAAGGAGTTGATCCTTACGTCGCGGGTTCGAATCCCACTGTGGGACGTGGAGACCGGTCCTTCGGATGAGACCGTATAAACCGAGGTCCCGTGTCGCAGTAGGTGCTGGCACGAAAAAGATCCCTCGCTGCTCAATGGCCGTAAGAGCCGAGTGTAGAACAAAATTTGCAGTTCTCCACTGGCAAGTGATGGCGTCTCCATATGAATGAAAAATTCTCGAGAGGGACGTTAAACAACATACAAACAAACAAACTTCGAAAATACTACGTTAAAAGAATTGCATTTACTTACATTATGTGCCTTAAAGAAACTACATAAAGGCTAGTAGCCCTTGTTACAAAAGAAAGTCCATTATTTTTTCAAAATCAAATGGTTTTGAGAATCAACGTATCGGGCAAGCAAAACTTATAATGTATAATGGGTATTCTGCATATTGCAGATATTCTACTTTGTTTTAGATATGTTTAATGAATGCCCTCTATACATGCACGAAAAATACATTTATAATTTTTATTTTTCAAGTGGATTTATCAAGGGCTAAAGTCGCCAGTCAGAGCTCAATTTACCCTTGTCTATATGATGCCTGTAGCAAATTTTATATAGCATCAAATGCAGTTGATAGAGACTTGTCAACATGTACAAGAAATAAAGAAATAGGAATTCTTTCAAGCACGCACACGGTATGGTGGAGAGTAGATCTTGGAAAAATTTACAGCATTTACAGCATCAATGTCCTGTTTAAGAACTACGACGGTTATGGTGAGAATTTTCATGATATGTTGTTTTCTACTGAAGAGGTGCTTCTTGAAAATGATAGTTTTTGTTAATCTAAATTAGAATGATTGATTAATTGCTTAGACGACTTGGAGTTCCCAACTAAGCTGGAAAATACAAAATTTAGACTATCTCTATTAAATACCATCAATGCAATATGTAGATAATACTTATCATGCTAACACCCCCTGAAATAGGCTTTATTTCTCAAATCTTAAATAGAATAGTCATTTAATATTGAATTAAATATGAGAGTTATTACATTACGCACATTACAAATAATAATTTTACTTATTCCATACAGAAATGCGACAAAGAGGCCGTTTTGCGGGGTTTTCTCTTTATTTATCGAATTCTAGTCTCAGAATGATTGACTTCCTCTGTTACGAGGATGGGAAAGAATTGCCACCATTAAACTTTACAACGCCATGTGTCGGATACGGACGATACGTAACATTTTACAATCAACGATTGCATGAAATCAAATATCCTGACGGATACGAAAGTACAACAATCACTGAATTGTGCGAAGTTATAGTAAATGGTAAATGGATTTTCATTTTCGTTTAATTTCATTTATTTGTGGAAAGAAATTTTATGATGGTCAGTCAAGGTGACAAGATTATTAAGAGTCAATAGTTCACATATCATAGATGTACGAACCCTACGTAAATGATAAATGAGTTAAAATTTATTTACACATAGAAGCAAAATCAAGAAACACTATTTGTTTCTTATACATCTCAATGTCTTTAAACTATACAAATTAAAAAGGCTGTAGTGAAGCTGGTGTATATGGAGAAAACTGTAATGTAGCATGTCCGAAGAACTGTCAAGAACAGAGATGTGACATCGTCAATGGAACTTGTCTTGGGTGTTTACCAGGGTGGAGTGGGCGATTTTGTGAAAACAGTACTAGATCATGATTACAGTGGAGCCTCAAGAATCCGGACGGCTCTAATCTGGAGCCCTTGGGACAATATTTATTGGCATAAGAATTTTACGTATATATATATATATATATATATATATATATATATATATATATATATATATATATATATATATATATATATATATATAACAATTAAAGTTCCGTTTCGGTAATCTGGATGCTTCATTAATCCCGAGGATTTGCTTGGGAAATCAAGTATTCGGATTAATGAGGCTTGACTGTACATTGAAATGAAATTAATCAGTTTCATCCATTTTAGTAAATCTGATTGAAGACTTTAGAATTTTTGTTTTGAATTTAAATCTGTTGAATTGATTGGAATTAAATTTTGATTGCATAGTTTGCCAAGGTGGATGGTATGGTCTTGAATGCAAATTAAGGTGCTTTGGACACTGCAGAAACAATGCTTTTTGCAACCACGTGACTGGTCAATGTGACAATGGATGTGCTGAGGGATGGAAAGGAATATATTGTAATAAACGTACGTAGCAATCAATGTATATGTATTTCAACATTGGTGATATTATTTCCACAGACTGAATTTCGTCTAATTTGTATGTTTCAAACTCTGCCATAGTAATGTAACGTTTTGAAGAACAGAAGAGCAACATTAGTTTGTTAACATGCAAGTATCCCAATAAATACAGTACATTTCCTCAATTCAATTCTTAATGCCTGATAGTAGAGTACTCACACTTAAACGTAGGATAAGTTTTTGTTTTGATTTAAGTTATGACTGTAATCTGCAAGATCTATTTGTTTTTAGACTGAAGAGAATCAGGAACACGTAGTGATACTTTAGATTACTTTTGTATTTTGATTGGTCTTCCTTTGTTAGCAGAGTGTAAAGATGGATATTATGGCTTGGATTGTAAATTCAAATGCAGTAGTCACTGTCAGAATAACGGTCCCTGTAACAAAAAAACTGGACACTGTGACGAAGGTTGTGAAGTAGGATACACTAATCTCTTATGTAACAGCGGTAAGGAATTTTTTTTTAATTCTAAAGGATGCTAAGAGGGATACAATGATTCCTCCCGTCACAGCAGTAGTTTTTTTTATATATATTAAGTTCACAAAGAAATATTGAAAATTAGATGTGTCAGGGTGAACGCATACCCCGCTGATATGCAGGTTCAAACTATCTGAAAGTTCAAGCACGTGAAAATAACAATAGGTGGAAATAATTAGAATAATAAGAAAGTTTAATTGGCCATAACTTTTGTAAAAATCGGTCAATTAACAGGAAACTCCTATTCGATCTCTATGTCATCCCACAAGGAATTAATTCAAACTGCATTATCTACAAGCATAGCATACAAAATATGAAAAAAAGAATAATTTTGAAAGTTTGAGGGAGAAATTTCTTTAAAAAATCAATCATCATGAAACTTGACCTTGATCAGCAAGTCATCAATATTAAAGGTACCGTACAATAAATAGAAGATTATCAATGTTTTGTAGTTGGATAAGGAATTTATTCACAGAAAAACTAGTTTAGTACGAACACGGATATAACGAATTCACGGATATAGCGAAGTTTTCTTGGAACCCAAGCTATATAAATTTTGTGTATTCCTTATACTGATATAACGAATTACGGATATAACGAAGTAATTTCACAGGTCCCAATGACTTCGTTGTAACCGAGTTTTAATGTAATGAGTGAGGCAGGAGTTTTTGATATTTTCACGAAGGAAGGATCTTTGAGAGTATTCCCACTTTCTCACTTTAATAGTCTTTCATACTTTTACAGAATATCACTTTTATTCAATGAAAAAAAAATACAGTATTTGACTGTTGATAATTTAGTAAATTAAATCCTTATCTACAAGCATAACAAAAAACGTCCCGAAAAATAGTGTATTATTAGAAATTTTGAAGATATAAAAACAAAAACTTTTGTAAAAATGGATCAGTTAACTCGAAATTGATCTGTAAGACAGTTTGTTAAGATCAACTTACTTGAAATTTATTTCCAATTTATCAGTATCAAAAGGCATACCTAAGGTTTACCCTTTTTCAACAAGCATCGCAAAAAAGAGGTCTGGAAAACTGATTTATTAGAAATGTATATAAATAAAAATAATTGCATGTAAATTTTGTTTCTTGTAATTTTTTTCTTCTCCATGAGTTAGTGTGTCCTTCCGGGTATTTCGGGAACCGATGTATGGAACACTGTAGTGCATATTGTTTGAATGACATGGTATGTAACCACATAGACGGAGTCTGCGCAGACGGATGTGACGATGGGTACATAGGAGACAGATTTGACAAATGTAGGGAAAAGATACGATAATATGTATGTTTTTACAAATCACTGAAGATTAAGAACTTTTAAGAATCATTTGAATTTTTTTTGGTAGTTTCATTAACTGACGTCACGAACGTCAGACAGGTGAAAGATTTATTTTTCCATGGAGGGAAATCATGGGATGAAAGCTAGCAAGCTAAAAGTTGCGCAAGCAGATTTACATCTGATTCTGTTATTTATATTTAATAACAATAGTTAGCACAAAAAAATAATCATATTTCTTATACAAAGCATTGATATGTTAACTTCCTCTGGTGTTTTTTTTATATTTATTTATTTTTAGTATGCAACTTTTTATTCCATGCAATTTCCTATACATATATTTCCATATATTTTTTTCTGTGTTTCTATATTACAATGTACTTGGTCAGATAATTTGTCTTCTATGAAAGGGGGATACAAACTATAAATCAAGCCAAATAAAACGGGAAATTCTTCGAACCTTCTCCTTGGAATGTTCTATTCCATGGATGTGATGGCTTCCCTGGAATATAAAAATTTGTTTCTTATAACCCGATCCTGAGACTTAGAATGTTTATCTATCACATTTGACATAAAAGATACCCTATATGGGCAATTATATGGGCAACTATAATAATGAATTTGATAAGTTTAACTAATTATTTTATTTTTATTGTTTTTACCTAAATTTGGACAAGTTTGATAAGCTATTATATCATTAACAAATACGATCCTCGCCCGCGTGGCGCAGTGGTTAGAGCGTCTGCTCTAGAGTCGAGGCGTAAGGAGTTGATCCTTACGTCGCGGGTTCGAATCCCATTGTGGGACGTGGAGACCGGTCCTTCGGATGAGACCATATATACCGAGGTCCCGTGTCGCAGTAGGTGCTGGCACGAAAAATATCCCTCACTGCTCAATGGCCGAGTATAGGCCAAAATTTGCAGCTCTCCACCGGCAAGTGGTGGCGTCTCCATATGAGTGAAAAATTCTTGAGAGGGACGTTAAACAACAAACAAACAAACAAACAAATACAATCAGCACTTGCTAAATTACCATGCATGATCGCATAAAAAATACTCACTGCAATTGTTTTCATAAACAAATTCATTTCCTTAAACACTAGTAGTTTTTTATTATTATGTGGTTTTCAAATTTTCAGCAGTATTTTGGCAATTCTGGTCTTGTATGCAATTAAAACCCATCCATATAATTTTTCACAGCCAAAGCTTTACAGTACTATTTCATTTTATTCATTTGTTTTACTTACTCAATCTATTCTTAATTTAAAGCCATTAAACAATCTTCAATATAGCATCATTATTAAATTCTGTCAAATATTACCCACATGCGTACATTCCAGTCTTATTGTTCCTGTACTGATATATATTTTGAGACACAGAAAAAAAATCATGTTCTTATGAACTTAATTCACTTTCCATACTTGTGATTGATCGGATACAGGTAACATTTCAAAAGAATTCTGATGTTCTGTTAAAATCCACTCATTGAAAGTGTTCAAAATATACGATAATGAAACATTTCGCACCCAGAGAAGTTTTTCCTGGAGCGTTTCGCACCTAAACATGTTTGGCACTACGGGGTTAAGGATTCTGATATCATTTATGTTCCATAACTTGCATCTATAAAAAAATAACTATGAACTTCATTAAACAGTTTTTCAAGAAAAAAAAATCCTTTTTCTATTCATTCAATATGACACAAACGCTGCAATGAAGTAAAACGTTGGTCACCTCATACGTACTACAGATATTGATTGCTATAATCAGGCAAGCTTTTTGATTGATTGATTGATTGTTTGTTGTTTAACGTCCCTTTCGAGAATTTTTCACTCATATGGAGATGCCACCACTTGCCGGTGGAGGGCTAAATATTTTGACCTATACTTTCCACTTAGGGCCATTGAGCAGTTAGGGATCTTTTTTGTGCCAGCACCTACTGCGACACCGGACTCGGTTTATACGGTCTCATCCGAAGGACCTGTCTCCACGTCCTGCAGTAGAATTCGAACCAGCGATGTAGAGCAGACCCTCTAACCACTGGGCCACGCAGGCGACGGAAGCTTTTTGAAAAACTATTACTATTAAAACAGATATGTCTAAATCATTCATTATGTAGTGTGTAAAGGAGGATATTATGGTAGAAATTGTTCTCATAAATGCTCTCCAAAATGCATCGACACCTGTCAACACACTGACGGCTCTTGTACTTGTTCCTATGGTTGGATGGGCATTAACTGTAATCAAGGTATTTAGAATATATAAATATGGTTTTCTTAATAATTTATACTGTATAATCTATGATTACTTATCTAACATAACAATAGCAAAATACACTAACAAATGCAATCCCCTCCATTTTTTCTGAAAATCAAGAATGTCCACCTGGATATTATGGAATAAACTGTAACGAGGAGTGCAGTTTACACTGTGGATTTAATGACACATGCGAAAGATACAACGGATCTTGTCCAAGGGGATGTCAAGAACCCTACACAGGGCCAAACTGCTTAAAAATGACAGGAAACTGTCCACAAAGGACAGGTAATTCTGAAAAAAAATGTTTATGATTAAATTTGAAAATACCAGTTTAAGAAAATTAATTATTCTTTGTTGATCTCAAAAGAGAAATGCTATTTTATCATTCCCTTTCTCTCTCTTTCCTTAAAAAAATTGTCAAAACAATGTTTTTACTGAAACAAAAATCATCCGTATTCTTATTTGTACATTAATATGCTTATTGAAGGATTGCGCTTATTGAAGGATTTTTGTCCTTTTTTATAACCTACTGTATACATGTAATATTTGTCGGTATAACAAACTCATTCTTGATTTCCTTAAGTGGATTTTAATTTATTCTACAGATTCTACAGATCCTGTTCTTCCGATTCCTTTGATCTGGTTTCTAGGACTCCTCCTGTCAGTGGTTCTGAATCTATGTTTTGTACTCATAGCAGGTTTTAAAAACTTCAGGTAATTCTGCATTTAATTGTTTAGGATTAAGAATTTCATTGTTTGCAAAGATTTGATATTTCTTTCTTTTGGTAAATGAATATAGTGATTTGTTTTACAATCACCGTCAACATAAGGAAATTATGGAAAGTAAAATAATTTCTAATTTTCTTTTTTGAGAAGGAGATGCCCAAACAAAAAGTCAACTTCTGTTGCTTTAAAAGATGCCTCAAGTCCTGCGCACACCCGATACGAAAGAGGAATAACTCCGCCTGGAAAGCAAAGTTATCAAGAAATAAAAAATAACATAAGTTATGAAAATGTTACATTATAACAGTAATACTGAAAAATACCTTTATTACAAATTCCTATTCCTTTTCTTACTAAGCATACGCTTTATTTCTTAGATATACCACAGAATCTATTTTCATAATGTTTCAATTATGTTAAAAATTTTATTGTAATTTTTTTTTTTGGCAAAGATGGATGTTATATTATATACATTATACATAAGGTGAACGACAGGATGTGTGCTTTGCTATTTTATTCATGTACAAGTATTTGCATTATTATGTCACCCTAAACCAAGACGGGACTCTGAATATATTGTTACTATTGCACCTATAATTTTGTGCGCAATTGCTCTTGCAAATGGCTTGAACTACCTTAATAAAATTTACAGAAATATAAGTGTAATTTTTAATTCTGCAATCGACATTTTAAGTTTTCAAAATTGATTTCGTTGCCATGGAAACAGAGAAAAAGTCAAAATTCTTTCAAGTCATTTATCCCAGTAACTATTTAGCCGATTTTCGAAATCTTTGAAACTTAAAAGGATTTTTCCTTGCATCGTCTCTAAGTGGCTTCTGTAAAAAAAAAGAACTTGGTAGTTGAAAACATATTGAAGAATAAACAATTTCAGAAAACTTGTTGATACATGACCATTGTGTATGGGCATTGTTTAGGTGAGTTATCCTGTGAAATCTAAGGTTATGCGTATTTGCATACCCTGCTTCAAACTCTAAGGTCATTTTACCTGTTGCTTGTAATAGAAGACTGCTCTAATTTTGTCGCCTTGGACGCAGTCGGGGCGACAATCCCTTGGACAACGCCTTGACCACGAAATCAAATTGCAATGAACCATTATAATGTTCTCATACCAAAAAAAAAATACATAAAAATTTGATACCAAGAAAATATGTGATTTCACGGTCGGTAAAAGTGACGTCACAGTTGGTTTCCCGCATTCATGAACCTATGGCCAAAAGTGCGTGTGAAGCTATGAAGAGTAAAGCTCGGCAAATACTTTCAGAAGAATTGTAATACCAGGTATTGAATTTTTTTTTCATAAAATTCTTATGTAAAGTTACATTCCCCTAGCTTGCCTCACTCTAGCTCTGGGATCTTGGTTTGAACAGATTTAAATTTTTCTCTCAGTAAGGGGGGTTCCACATATACTTTACCTTTTCTGATCTAGTGGATCTTGAGGAAGTTTTGTAATACATCAAGACTCGTTTTATCTCTTCTCTAAAGAGGCAATGGCTTTTCATTTTTCATCAAAAAATTAAAATTTCCTTTACCAAAGAATATTTTGCCGCAAATCTGCTAGAAATTTGTTCATTGTCTCTAGAGAAGTCAAAAATCTGAAAAGTTACAACATACAGACAGATGGAAGACGTATAAATGTTTAACTGAATACCGGTAGTTCACTTAAAAATTTCTTGAGTAAACTATAAAGCAAAAATAAAAAATTAACAAAATATAGCAACAAAATTTATGAAAACATGTTTTATGTACCTACGGCAGATGCAAAATTTTAAGTTGAACAATAAACATAAAACAGATAATTAGTATCAAAAATAAGCTTGATTGGATAAACACATTCTGTTAATTGCCACCTAGGTATATCATGATGAGTGTTAGAAACCTATTTTAAGTGATTACATTACACAACAAATATAACGTAGATGATGTGTTACATATATCCATACAATGACATTATAAACTGAAAAATTACACTTTTACAATAGATTACAATGAAAATTGAAATAAGACAAAAACATTAAAAAATATTTCACAAAATAAATGTTATTTTAACAAAACCCCACAATGCAAAGTGATACAATAAATAATTAAAAAGCAGTTCAAATAAGCTTATCACTAATGAAAAAGTCTCGAAAGATTAATGAATATGTAAAGTTTCTTTTGATTTCGTAGGTCAAAAGTTTTTACATTAATTACAAAGGTTCATCGTATGATTTAGAAAACAACGAATGTTAAAGATATTATGTGCTAAGTTATAAAAGTTTCTTCCCTTTGTCTAACAATTCGCGTAAACACTGTCATTCTGCATGTATTCTGCAAGGACATCATAACAAAGCTGGTACTCCTCCTAAAAACAGAAAATAAAATGTTACATCTAGTAAAAAGTTTCTTTATTCAGTATGGGATTACCATAAATGATATGTATATTCAAAATCAAAACATGTTATTAAGCATTAAAGAATTGGACTATGCATTCGAGAGATTAAGATTGTATATTGTAACAGGGAAAGCTTAAGACAAAAATAGATTTATCTCAAATTTAAGAACTCTGTTTAAAACCTTACTTACAAGAGAATCAGATTTTACAATTTGCTCCATTGCAAATAACGCAAGTAAAATGCAGTGGGAAATATCGTTAAGGTTTGAAAAGATCACAATAATCTACAGTTCAATCTAACGCGTACTTAGAGTGTAAAAGCACCCACCAAAGTAGACACAAACTCCGGTCTACGGATCTGAAGTTGTCGTGTGATGGTGAAGATGTCCACTTCCTTATCCATCGAGAGTTGTTCCAGAGCGTTATAGACAACAGCAAATGCTCCACAACGTGTAGCTCCATCACTAGCAGATAAATGTAATGAAGCACATGAAAAAAAATAATAACAAGAAATTCATGTGCGTTTGAAAATAATTGCTTTGAAAATTACTTAGATGTGAAGACATTCTCTGTGCAAACTGATTAGCATATTGACGTCCATAAAACAAAGCTGGAACTCATTGCTAAAACGTCAAGATGTTATTGATACATGTATCAAGAGTAGATTTTCATCAGAATATAGTGAAACAATTGCCTGAAGATATACAGAGCTGAGACGTACCTGGACAAAACAAGTATTTTCCCCTCTTGCTTATCTTTCTCTGATTTTGCCTCTTTGACCACATCAAGTAAGACTCTTTTGTTGGTAAGAAACCTTCCTTCTTTCCAGGTCTTGCATTCCATTACAGTTAGTGTCATGTCGCTGCCTCCCTACAACATTGAAATTGTGTTTCATGTAACATATGGCCTTTCCGATACAAAGTTAGAAAGAACTATGATATGTAAACAAAACAAACCTTTGGCTGCAAAACTATATTCCGGGTTGTAAAGTTTATCGAATTTGTTGATGTTGCTAGATTAAGTACAAAACTGCCCACTGTTTTATTTTCTGATTTTTTTGGAACCCAAAGGGATGACTGGAAAAAAATGAAACAAATTTTATTTGATTGTTTTAAGCAAGAATGTCAGGAGATTACATGCAATCCGTTTTTCGATGAAATGATATCACTTACAGGTTTTCTTAAGTTTTTGTATCTATTGTACTTTAATATCAAAATATTTACATTTCCATACATTTTTCCTTAAGATTCTTTGCAAATTAGAAAAAGTTCATGTTCTCATGAGTTACCATGGGGTGAGTAAGAATATTTCCATTGTGATGTGATTGGGGTAAAAAAAAGTGTATTTTTTTTCAAAAATGATCGTTGAATGCCAAAAATGTGTGTCAGGTCATCAGAAATATAATGAAAACATGAGATATGAATTTAAATTTCGAAAATTCATGAGGTACATGAACTACAACGCTTCACGCCTGCATATTTAACATAAAGCGTTAACACGCTTTCATGAAATATGCCGGCGTGAAGCGTCCTAGTTCATGTCCTCATGAATTCTTAAAAATTAAAGTCATCTCTTAAATCCAAAGTACTTATATTATTTTCTTCCTACTTCTTTCAATTACAGATATGTTTATCTTACAGATTTTATTTCTTTCAAAAGACCTAGAAAAACCACAACACGAGCATCAAAATCTCTGATGAGTCTCAAAAGGTCTTCAGTGTAGTCAGGAAGTGGATACTGAGCGCTGATTAGACAGTCATTTTCAGTGAAAGACTAGAAAAAAAATCCTTTTTTTAAGAAAGAGTATATTCATGTTCATGAGTAATCACAGAGAACAAATTAAGCTGGATTTAATATTTAAAAATTAAAAATTATTTTATATGTGTACAAAAAACCGTTATATTTAGCGTTTAATAAGCACATATTGAGGAATCATTACCCTCTTTAAGTGAGAAATCTTTCGTCTCATCTTTTAGATCAGCCATTTAATGCATATGGAAGACATAATTTTAAATCATGTTACTAGGAAAGCATTACACTTTAGGACATTATCACGGTATACTTATAAATATCAGACCTGTAGAAGAACAGCGTTGTAGTAGTTGTTCCTTCCCTTTGTATAGGACAGATAGCATATGAACTTTTCCACTGAAATCCGTGTTTTAAAATGGTTAAAATATTTAGGAAAAGTTTGTAGAAATTTACGTACAACTACATGTTATTTGCAGGATATTTTTTTTCCAAATATTTCTACTATCATTTCCAACATGTACTAGGCAACAAAGAATTGAGGTAAAAAAAAGAGTATTATGTCCTACATATCGACCTCTGCATTTTTAGTCGATTGTAGAAAAACCTCAAGAAATTTACAAAATTGATTAATTTTATTATTTTTCTTCCATCTATAGCTAGATATTGCTACAGAAATTCCAATATGACTAAAATACATGGAATAAGAAATTGATGTAGAGAATATTAAAGATTACCCGGCAAAACACTCTCTGTATAGTTGGCTGATATGTTTGTATGTCCAGATTCGTAATCTTTCTCTGCATATTTTATCCGAAGAGATTGCAACTCCTACAAGAATTTGGAATAAACCCATGTATTCACTGTACAATTAAATTAAAGTAAATTTTTTCTTCTGATAGATTTCTACATTGATTTTTTAATGATTACTGGTATCATCTAAAGTTGTATATGAAAAAATTACAACCATATTAAATGGTGAATCATTTCAATAGGTAATGACCGTATATAAATAACACTAATTATTTTTGATTAGATTACAAATCGTGGTTTGCTAAGTACGACGAGTCTACCTGGAACTCTGATGACAGGGAGGTTGTGCTTTTAACTTCCCCACAATTTGTGTAGCACGATCTATCTTGCGATTGTTGTGAAAGTTGTGAAAGTTTCTCAGCTGTCAAACGTCTGGATCTCCCACTGAACGATTCACTTAGGGCGAGATAAACGACTCTGTACTGGTCCTAATGGAAAAGAAGTTATAATTTCATATTGAAGAATCATATTAAACATAAACATGTAAAGATGTCAAATATGCTTAAAATCCTGTAATACTCAATTAAAGTAATATTTTGTTTTGATTTCACAATATTATACGCAAAAATCTGAACTAGAATCTAAAATAAGTCAATTTCTAATATAAATATTGCTAGTAGGTTTTTGATATAAAAAATGAATCCCAAGAAATCATTGTCAACAAAGATTCCTAAGAGTGAATAGAAAAAAATTATTTCCTTGATACGCAGCACACTTAAACGTTAAGGCTACAATATAGAGGCGGGGCCTTACTTATACGGGAAATGCTTACTATGACATCATGCAAAAATATATATTTTTCAAATTACCACAAAATGAAAGGATTTGATATTTTAAACTGTTGGATAGCTTTAAACTACATCAAAACTTACTATTGCATGTATTTTTGTAGTTGATCAAATCCCACCTAGCAGTATATTAACAATTCACTGATCGCAATGCACTTGTCAATGTGACGTCATATCGTAAAATTTGACGCATGAGAGGGGATCAAGTTATATTTTATACAAAAAAATATATTTCAAATAATATATGCATATATATAATAGGCCATTAACTTGGATGCGATGTCTATTTTATGATTTTATTCATATGCTTCCCGTACATTCCCTAGAAAAGCAATACTGCTATTAATTTGTATGCAGATTCATTGAAGGGTAATAGAAGGGTCGTAATAAATCGATATATTGCAAGGGCATACCCTCAATGAATTATGACAAACTTTTACACATAAACTCAAGACGTATGAAGATCTTTGAAAAGTGCTGGGAACCTGGTGAAATCTTGCAAATGAATTAATTATATCTATTTTTAATGTACTTTACCAGCAAAATATTCAACATATGGTCTAACAAATGTAATTTTAACAATTAGATAGTAGAATCTATATAGGTTAGCATCACTTTTCACAAACTACAAAGAGTGTTGAAAATAATTATAAATTAAATTTAGATTATTAACATGGTTATGCCCTTGCGGTATTGGAATTTATATATGATTTAAATACTGCAGGCATATTTGCTAAAATCATGTGACTACCACATTACATGACAACCTAAATAAAAAATTTAATCGTCCTCAACATGTACTTTTCAACTACATTACATTTGTCCGATAAAAGTAAAATCCTAAAAAGAATCGCCCATCCTTGTAAAGGATGTATTTTCTATCTGCAAAAATCGCCCTACTGCGTAAGATATCAAAGAGGTACGAACCCCTGTCGGCGTTGTCTCATTGACAATATTTTTCTCGGAGTGTTCTGAAAGTTCATGAAATAGATGCAGTTTAATAAATCTATGGTCAACTACGTGATCATACACTATTTTTTTCAAAATATAATATCAGCCCTTGTCAACTAATTGAGCCCTTTGCCATACAGTATCATCCGCTGGGTGTTGTATCTTTTTCAGGGGTTATCATTCTGTTTTTTGAAATATCAACAGGCAACTGAAATAAGTTAACTGTGCATGAAATAATAATAAGGTTAACTTGCCCTTCTGTGAAATAAGGCGGACGATAACAGCACTTTTTCGATAAATAGAAAAAAGGAAGAATTAAATAGAATGTTCATATTAATTGACATTCTTTCCTTTTTTCTTATTATCTTGAATGATTCATTTGCAAATACATGTATCAAGTTTTCCATATATCATAACAGATCTAGTTTACTAATTATACAGATCCTATGTTTATTTACCAAAGCAAATTGTAATTTAATAAGTATTAAGACTTGAAATGGCAAAAAATGGTATATTACATTTCAGCAGTGGAAATGTAACTCATTATCGTCATAGTATTTTTACTATTCGTTTAAATGCATTATTAATATAGTTGTTTTTTTTTTTTTATCTTTTCTAGACCTTTTTTGTATCCTTTAAATGTTTATAAAATTCTTATTTTACAAAAAAAAAAAAAAAAAAAAAAAAAAAAAAAAAACAACTTGTCAGAATTCACATTTGCTTCAGATATGCTGCAGAATGCATCATATTGATTCTTATATGGAAAAAAAATATGTTTTTTTTTTTTTTTTTTTTTTTAATAATTCTAATGTAGGTTATAAACCATTTACACAAAGTTGTTCACTAAGGCAAAAGAACGTCAAGATTGTATTTCCTTTGAAAAAAAAATCAACTTTCTAAAAAAGTTACATTTTGTGTATAAACGATCCTTTCTTATGTAATTGTGTTTTAAAATGGGATTATTTTTTTAAAAAATTTATTGCTGCCAAGACATTTTAAAAAAAGAAAGGTTTAATTCGTCTTTCGAGGCAGGTTTAGCAACAAGGAAATGTTTGAACAGGTAACACACAGAAGGTTCTTTGCATGTTCACAAGGACACGATTGGAAAAGATTATTAACCTTTGACTCTTTTATTCTTCAATTGAGGAAGGGTTTGGGAGGAAATTCAACATAAGAATTTAAGCTGGCTAGTATGAGGAAATCTTTCTAGGTAGTTACGTTTAAAATTTATTATGACAAGTGAATTAAAGGGAAATATTACTTCAATTTGTTTTAAACTATATAAAAGAAAACTTTACATAATACTTTTATGTAACAAAAGCTTTTTGTTTACAAAGGTTTAATCATGTTATATAAGAAGAAAAAATATTGCCTCCCTGTTGCGATTAGATATAGAATGCGGAAAGTATTGTACATATCATTGCATGTACAGGAAGTAAAAACAGCCATAGAAACGCCTCTGAATTCTTTAATTATTTACGCTAATTTATCAATACAAGTGTTTACGGAAAATTTAGTGGCAGTAACAACCTCAAAAATTGATTTTCAGAAATGATGACCATCTTTTTTTACATCAAATTTAATAGGGGACTTGGACTTTTAAATTTGTAAAAAAAAAATGTACAATAGAAATTTAAAGCCAGCTCGTTTTCAAATGAAATTCGGGGGGGGGGGGAATAAAATAGAAATATAAACATACATCGCCTTGTATCATGTTCATTCTGTCTTTTCTCATGGTCCTGATATACATTGGTACATTAACACAGCCATTCCTCTCCCCTTCTCGATAGAGGGCGTCTAAAGCTATGTATGTTCCGGTTCTTCCAATTCCAGCACTATAAAAAGTACATAATGCAAATATTTCATTTAGGCTACATCAAAATCACTTTCCAATTTCCCCTGTTTTGTTTAATATTAAAGTTGAAGATTAAGAACAGCATCAATATAGGAAATACAGTAAAGACAAGTAGTGATCAGGGTACTGACCCCAAGGAACCATCATAGCTGGGATGAGGTGCCCAAGAGAATAAAATAATCCCGTTAAACCGGTCATATTCACCGTGAAACTTTTGTATTGATTAGAACAACAATGTATTCTATATTTTCATTTAGCATAGTTAAAAACACACCAATTGTTGTGAAATCTTCCAGAAAAATATGCAAACCAGCGATTGGCTATATTTGAAAATTCATTATATTAAACTCACTTTAGCAAAAAGGGCTCTTAGACTTGAAACAAGTAATGAACGGTGATGTGCAATATGAAACCAGCCTGTTCTTCATGTAGTTAAACATTGTATTAACTATATAATAGATGTAGTAGAGAGACAAATTATAAAAGCAAAACGAAAGAGGAGTACAGGTCTTTAACAGTTCACCAACCTTTCACCAAATGAAAACTTTTAATGTCAATATGAATCCAATTACTGTAAAAGTGGTTATATTGAAGGGTTGAACGTTCGAAGATTTTGGTATATTAGAAAAATGGCGAGTGGAAACCTTGACAATCTACTAATATTTCACAGTGCTCTTTAACAGTGATGAGAAAATTCGAAACTTTGACGATTATTAGAAATTTGTCAATTTCGTTAAGGTTTCCTCATTGCCAAACTTTCCATTTTAACAGTAATCTATTGAATGTTAAATACACCAACGAACTGCTATTGAATTCAATTCCATCTATTTTACTATAAAATCTGCTTAGTGATCCTAGCTTTGGGATGAGCATGAGTATAATTCGAAATATATGATTAGAATTAAAATGGCATATCCGATATTTGTACAGATAGACCATTTTATTGTACTTTTCTTAAATTAACAAATTTTACTTAGTGACAAACAGTGTATAACTGTATATGACATAACATTTTCATTAGATTCATTAGGAAGAAAATACATGATAAAAAATGCTCTAAAAGATTCATTTTTTCTTTAGGTAAATATTCAATGATAGATATGCTTAGCAATGTTAATGCAATTTTCAAGTACAAGTATTTTTTTGTCTCCTTAAAGAATGTGCAGTTCTGCAAACAGAACTAGTCCTGAACTAGTCTGATTTGATGAAGAATTCTGGTTGGCTTGCCTTTTTATGTCACATTTACCACAGAATAATCTGATATATAACGCACATGTGTCTAAGTGCTTATATATAAGGCAAACACTGATTGGTTGAACATTTCAATAGAACATCTTATGCTTAGAGCAGAACTTCTGTATAAATAGTTGCACAAAAAAAAGACTTTGAATAAAAAAATTACATCTATGAATAATTCGTTATATTCTGTTTAAATAGCAAAAGTATTGCGTTCTTTTCTGATATTTGATGAAAATTGTCAGTTTTTAATAAGCTGATTTCGCAATTCTCGTGTTTGTTATTTAGTGTTTAACTATGTAATTTGAAGAACTGTAAATAGTTCTACGTATATTGAAATTTAAGAGTAAAATTTTAAAATGGCTTTACTCTTCATATTGTAAATAATTTTCTGCAATAATTTTTAAAAAATGAATCAGTAAGATATCTTTGCCTTTCAAATAAAACAATCCCAATTCGTTGATTGTATCTCAACTAGCTATCTTACTGTATACATGTAAATGCACTTGCAGCATATATGCAAAAAATACTCTTTTAAGCATATTTACACCAAGTAGGGGCCAGTTACAACAATGTATTCATTTGGTATAGAAAATCCTGTGTGCTCAGAGGTTCATGTAACATTTCGTGATTAAGGATAAATAACACAAACATTTTTTTTTTCAGAAATCAGCAAAATTTCCCATATATTTATATTTAAATAGGTAACCTGAATAATGTTTTCCAGGTATAAAATGGTAGGATCATGTAAAATTCTGTCACGATGTGAAAATGTATGTAAAATTTTGTATAGAATTTCATTAAAAAGGACAAAAAGTCGCATATCTAAGCATTAAAGAAAACTTACGATTTCTTAATATTTTAGTGATTTATTTTCTATGTCATATCCATTCAAAACCAGTTAAAAAATATACATCAATCCATGCAAATTTTTGTTAGTGGCATGTATCGTTTAGCTTTTCACCCTGGTAAGCATTATTCTGATGAAAGTTCAGTCCTTTTCTTAGTTCCAAAACTTTCCAAACATTGTCTATCGATTATTATTTTTCAAGAACATCATCTCGAACCAAATGCTTCACCCTGGCCTTCAACTACTTTTAAGCTCAGTGAAACATCACTCATGAATATTAATCAAACACAATTCTTAATGCATATGAAATTCATGGAGGTTATAAAAAAAATACATGTATAATAGAAAAGTTGATTGCATTCGAATTTACTCGCATTGCAAACATATATATATATATACACGAAAAAGTTCATTATTTTGCACTCTATAGCAAATTCGCTCATGAGTATAATATATACGTATGACTGATGATGTGAGTTAATTTCTCAGCATTTAAACAGAGTAATAGTTACAAATTTGAGATGAAATTTTAACTTCTAGTCTTTTCAGCTCGATGTTTTGCAAGATTTTGAAACATCGTGGAAAATATTCTTTCTTCAAAGTACTTGTTAGAACTTGACACTTTTTTTTCAACCAAAATACTTCTTAATATGACCTTAAGGTTAATCTACAAGATTCAGTATGAACATCTTTATCGCATGAACAGAACGTCTCTTTTTTTATTAACTAAGGAAAAATAATGTTATATCTCCTTATTTTTCTTACCAGGTTTATGATAGGTCAATTAAGTGTTCAATTGCACTTGATATTTAAGTACAATCTTAGAATAATTTTTTATTTAAAAAAATTGTATGTAGTCCAAGGAAAGGGGTCTTACAACATTCCGTTGGAATTTTAATGGTCACTCAATTTACTCCTTTGTCTTCCTACCTGTACTTATATTCTTATGAATCACAATGTACATGAGATGAACAGGAAAATTCTGGGTTTTTTTTCAATCCTTCGCTCCATTATATGGATATCATTTTAATTTTTTTATGGACTCCATTTATCCAAGTGAGCATCATTCAAAACACGCAGTAGAGTCTGCCACACCTGTTTCATACCTTGATGCTCTACCAACTGTAGACGTTAATGGCCAACAAACAACAAAACTATACGACAAATAGGACTACTTTAGCTCATCATTTACTTTTTTTTCTTTTTTACAGTATCATTCCATTTAGGGATTCGTGTCTTCCAATGGATTATGTACGCATTAGCAATGTTCTGAGTGCATTTTCTTCAGCAGAGAGAGAGAGAGAGAGAGAGAGAGAGAGAGAGAGAGAGAGAGAGAGAGAGAGAGAGAGAGAGAGAAAATATAGGATATTCAATAGTTAGATATCACAATATACCTGCAGTGCACCAATGTGTACTTTCCAGATTTTGAGGCATTTTTCATCACATGACGATGGAACACAACAAGATTGAGTGGATCAGGAACTCCATGGTCTGGCCACCTTGTGTAGTGAAACATCAGCATCTCACGGTCTTTCCTTTCCTTCGATTAAGAAAAAAGAAAGTTATTTAGGTTTCTTTTCGGTGGCTCATTTGTCTGATTTATACCTTGTTTTCTATTTGTCATTCAAATGATACTTTTACATCCACCCAGATTGCTAGTTGTACATACACTGTTAGGTATGGGGCAATTTAAAAAACCGCTATTCTTTTTAGCAAGCATTTTTAAAGACAATCAATGCCAATTACTATGAGAGATACATGTATTAATAAAGACAATATATAGTGCCTATTAAAAGAAACACATTAACAAAGTCAATAAATGAATATAGAAGAAAATTAACAGTTTAAGTATTTGAGAACTCTTTCTTTCTTTCGCTGTTTGGGATTCAATTATAATATACCATTTGAGGGAGAAAAACGACATTCTTGATGAATGTGTCTTACAGATTATCAAATTTCCTCAATAATTCTATTAAAGATTCTTCATTTCATTTTTATATACTGAAAAGTCCAGAATCCACGTGTTACAGTCATTTTGTTAACAGAGATTTACAAAGCTAGACGGACAAATAAATATGAGGATGAAACATTTTTTTTATTTCCAATTTTGTTGGAAGGGGATTTTGGAAGGGAGTTGAATATCAAGAAAAAACATAACATGCACAAGATTCCTATAATCGAAACATATTTATTTTACTTATACAGTATTTAGATTGGCTACAAGTAATAAGGTGAGGAAAAAATTGGATAGGAATGTTTTAGAACTCTAAAAAAAAAAATCGTTTGCTTAAAACATTCTGTTGATAGATCGAAAGTTTCACAGTGAATCAAATTATCAACGTTTTTACTATAGTTAAGTATATATAGTACAAGGGCATTGGAAAAGTTCTGAGAACTGTTTGATAAAACATTAACTGTCAACGGAAATTACTGAGTTTGATATCATTAGACAGATCACAAAAATATACACATATTTTGACGTCACTTCGTAATTTTTATTTAGTAATAACTCCTTAAATGACGTTAGAATGCCTAGCATACAGACCATAAAAATGACGTAAAAAGAGGCACAATTCCAGTGAAGTAAAAGATTAAAGTCAATTTTTTTTTCATTACTCGGATGCATGCTAACGAACACAACTGCCAGTTGGAGGATTGTTTACATAGAATACAATTTATCATATGGAGTTATATTCAGGAACTCTTATAGTTCTGAAGTGGTTAAAGAGTGTGTCAAACATAGCATGTTATTTTCGAATCTCTCGTAAAATATTGTGTAAAAAAGACGCTGCTGTGAGGATATCACAAAGTTTACAATCATAAGAAAATAGTGGACGGTGTTATTGAATTAGCTGGCATTAATTCGTCAGGAGTTTTAACCAATTTTGCGGGAACGAATAAAGATCAAGAGACTTTAATCTAAGGGTGTCCTATGCTTTCTAGTAAAACCAAAATGGCGCCGATGTAGTTCTAACCCTACGGTAACTCGATATCAAAAATTTTAAATCATGCAAATAAATAATATTGTACATGGCAATGAAACTCAGATTTATTTTCTTTAATCGGAAGTCAAACGCAAAAGTGAGTTTTGGATCGTTTAAATAATATGAAAAAAAATACGCACAATAACATATCGTAAACCGTAGAAGTCATGATACTCAAGATACATTTGTGGAAAACTGCATTGTTACACTTAAGTTTTATATAATATATCTTTTATTTAATATAGTGGAGAGCTATATAATAGACAGAAAATCCAGCTATTTTGTATAAATAAAAATCTTTATGAATGCCTATGATAATATAACCGGACATAAACCGTGTTTATTATCCAAGCAAAAAAAAAAAAAAGAAATAAAATATGGAATTGCTGATTTACAATACTATTCTTACAGTCTTACTCTACCGCCATTCACATTTTCTTTGAAATATCTTTTCGAGGAAGCCTTTGACAGCACTTTTTTCATGTGGATAAAAAACGCGACTCTTCAGTTATGAAAATTTCTCGAGAGGGACGTTAAACAACAAAGAAAAAACTAAACATTCGAAATTAGACGTCATTTTTCGAGTTATTACGTCATAAATATAAGAAAGTGACGTTAATGTAAGTGCAAATTTTCCCGTTTTTTTTCCAATGATTTCAAAACAATTAACTTCCTTGAAATGGTTAATAATTTAGCAAGCAGTTCTTAGAACTTTTCAAATGCCCCTCGTAAACTATAGATAACTTTAGTAAATTTTTATAAGGGAGCTGGGTGGGGTGGGGGTAGTGTATATCGGACGTTTCATTAACACCACATTTTCTAGACTTCTATAATAGAAGTAAGTCTAAATGTTTGTGTTCCACAAGGGGCATTTGAACAGTTCTGAGCATTTATAATATAAAATTGTAGATTTCACTGGAAATTATTCTGCAATGATTTGGTGTCATTGGCTAGATGAAGAAAATACGTCATTGAACTGATTTTTCACATTTTGTGATATGGAACAACATTAGTGATGACATTTATTTATTGTAACAGTGATGTCATATTGAGTATGATGTAACAATGTTGTATATTTATGAGAGATTACTCTATAAAAAGAAGTGTAGCTATTAATACCATTTTTGAAACAGAAAAACGAATAAAAAATTATCAATGTAGACGTCAATTACTTCGGTTCAACCCCAAAATTATTAGAACCAAATCCACACATTTCATGCTTGTTCGATATGCTTTTTGTAAGTCTTTATATCCAGGGATAATTCAGTCATTAATTTTGAAACGTTGCTTTCAGCTAAATAATGTCTATACAATAACAAGGGCTTAATTTTTCAAGGGTTAATAATACATTACTTAAATCATTCTCCCCACCCGCACACACACTTTCAGAAATGTATTATATTTATGATTAACGCTTGTTATTTCAATTTTGATAATTCTCGAACGGGACTTTAAACAACATACAAATTAATCAATCAATCAATCAATTAATCAATGCTGATGTTTAATTCTGACATCGCTACAATCTTGAAAGCAACATTGAATATCAGAATTACAGGGGGTTTTGTATTGTACAATGTGCTGGCCTAGCTGCTTGCAGTAATTGCAGTAATAAGCATTGGTCCATACTGTTTTAAAGGCCTAGATGCTCCGATCTTGAACGCAGTCTGGATTTTATGAACAAAAGACAATAATTAAGCCCTTTTCTTTGCCTAAAATCCTGCATATATGCATGAATATGAACTTGAAAGCAAACATAAATTTCACGTTTTTTTGTGTTGATTAATGGTATCATGAATTTCATATGTAAATGCAGCAAAAGATAAATTTTAAGTATAAATAATTGGAATCGCTAGTAGATCGAAACAGATCTATATGCATTAATTGAAATTTTGAGCCGATTTACATTTAATCAAATACAAATGATTATGAGCATGCGCATTTATTGTAAAATGGCATCTTCCCTTCAACATGGAGTATATAAGACCTGTGCTAGCGTGGATATCATTTTTGGACCGGGCATTTTCTGTGCGATGTCAATTATTTAAAGTATTGTTTTCTTTTATTCCATTTGTGCTATACTAATGGTAATATACTGAATGGACATAACGGAATATTAATTAAATAGTGGATATTTATCTATTTGCATTGAACACCGCCATAATAGGAGAAGTCATTGCAAATGAGGTCAATTTATTTGTAAATCACGGGAAATTATACAAGCTTCAAGGAGGATTGACATTGTTGAAAGAATGAAAATATTCCAGATAAGTATATTGATTCTACTTGTGCTCGAGAAAGATTATAATTTTGATCTAGTCATATTGCTATATGAGATGTAATTCATAATCATTCTTTTGTCTGTGTTCCTTATATACTGAGCATATATTTTTGAAATCGTTTTGGAGATTATTTTTAGGTGTTCAAGATGTGTAACAGCTAAAATAGATTCAACTTTAGACCTGTTCGAGACTGGACCTGTCATTAAGTATACATTAAATAAATTGTCGGTAAAACATATTTATTTATTAGGGAAAAGTTCAAAAGTAAACTGCATATTTTGGCTCTCTCTAATGTACAAAATACATGTTTATTTGAATGTTAGCATTTGTATCTTTATTGAGATTTATACGATCATATGTTCAATAAAAAAATAATAATAAATACAAACAGATTATTAAATAAAAAAAAAAACACTCAACACATAGACTTATTTCTGTTACGTAAGCATGGCAAACATGATTATATTACAATGTCTTTGGAATTACAAGCGTTAGCTGCCTTAAAAACGAATTTATTGTCCGATGGTTCTGGGTTGATTTAGGTCTATTATAAAACATCATTCCTTCTTACCATATTGTTGTACACTTTGAAGCGTCTTGACGTGTAATTGGCGTATACCTTTTCTTCCAGATTTCTTATCATAAAAATACCATGCTGCATTTTGTCGTTAAAATTCGGCCAATATTGAGTACATTTAATCTACAAGAAAAATGAGGGGTTAATTAACCACAATACTCTCCCCTAAACCACCATGAAATATGACATAAACACTAATCAAAATTACATAATGCTGCTAAAAAGTGCATGTGCAATGAAAGAAAAAGCGAGCAAGCTCACATACCCCATGCTCCCCCAAATATTGACAATGCAACACATAATGAATGGCACGGTGCATTTTAAATACACAGTATAATTCAAAAAGTGGCATTCCTTGCAAAAAATCATCACATCAAAACTTCTTGAATATAAGGACATTCATACCTTTGTATGTTATAAACTTAATCGGGTTGAAGTTTCTAGATAAAAATTGGAATCAAAATTTCTTATTTTTGTACAAATCTACACATTATGTCTGAAATGACTACAAAGTTTCAGGAAATTCAGTGCAGGAGCTATGCTGACAAACTATTATTTAAATTTCTCAGTGATTTTGAGTTGTTAATGAGTGTAAGTCCATGTCCAACGTATGACAATTTACACATTTAAATAATTGATGGGAACAAAATTATGATGTAGCCATAGAAATTTGTTTATATACTGTACTTATGAAATTATTTAAGTCAAAGCACTAATTTGCATGGGGGGGGGGGGGGGGAGCTTTTTGTGTACTTCTATCAAAGATTTGTGTGTGTGTTTTATGATTAATATTTTGATCTCAAAACCATTAGCTAGGGGGTCATTTAAGGTCATAAAATATTTCACATTAAATGTTCATTAAAAAAATTGATTTCAGTGGATTTCCTTATTACCTAGCTGGGATGGGAAATTTCTTCAATAATAGCCAAAACTCGAAGGACAAAATTAACTTTCTGGCAATATGCACATCTACACACTGTGCCCTAAATATCTGCAAAGTTTGGAGAAATTCTGTGCTGCGGTTTAGGAGGAATTGCACTGACAAATTGTTCATCTCTATATTCAAAAGTCTAAGCTGAAAATTGCCGAAATTCCCTGAAAAAATTAGTGAATCGAAAATTTCTTGGCAATATACACATCTACAAACTTTGTCCTAAATATCTGTTAAGTTTGACTAAATTCTGTGCAGCGGTTTAAGAAGAGTTGGACTGACAAACTGTTCATTTCTATATTAAAGATATGGGCAAAAATCTAAGTTGAAAAGTGCCGAAATTCCCAGAAAAGTAATGGAATTGGAATGTCCTGGCAATATACACATCTACACACTGTGTCCTAAATATCTGCAAAGTTTGATGAAATTCTATACAGCGTTTTAAGAGGAGTTGGGCTGAGCAAAAAAAAAAAGGAATGACTGACGGACGGGTCAAAAACATTATACACCACCTAAACATTGTGTGGCTTGTTTTTTGTTTTTGTTTTGTTTTTGTTTTTTGTTTTTTGAAAGATATTGCCACTTACATATACTTCTATAAAGGATAAGTTTGATGAATACCCATGAGTAGAAAAAATTATCAAAAATTTAATGTTTTTCAATATAAGACAAAATAAACCCAACCTTTCATCGACTCAGCTGCCAAAGATGTTTGTAATATATAATCAAACAGTTTACCTGCGAGAAATACTGGTAATGCATTTTTCATGTATGACAAATTTTAACCATGCACACTCGTGAGCCTGAGTCTTGGATCCATAGCTAATAACTATTACAATTTTAATAAAGAGCTTTTTGCTAATTAGTATCATGACAACACTTTGTTTCTAAGTGTCCTGTAGAAGCGAAGACGATTTCTGAAGATTGCAGCGTTTGGTTTGATGGTTTTGGACCCCTTAGGTTTCAGGGAGGTACGACAATACATGATGACAGACAAAAGCTGATGGAGTTCAAATGAGTGACTCAGGTGACGGATTACTTGGATACATTTTTTTTTAAAAAGCACTTGAGTAGAAATATTGAGCGGCTAACTTTTGTTTTTTTCAAAGGTCCTCTTCGTTATATAAATATTTTATGATTATGTTTTGAATCTTACTTATACATTACAGGCATAAACTTCCTGTTATTACACAACTTGAAGTGACAACGAAAAGACATTTCTTTTCTATTTACAAGTACGCACAAACAGGAAGTAATTCAGATTACGTTCATGAGTTTGTTTGTTTATATGTTGTTTAACGTCCCTCTCGAGAATTCTTCACTCATATGGAGACGCCACCACTTGCCGGTGGAGAGCTGCAAATTTTGTCCTATACTCGGCACTTACGGCCATTGAGCAGTGAGGGATCTTTTTCGTGCCAGCACCTACTGCGACACGGGACCTCGGTTTACTGTACAGCAGGAAATTAACTCGCGGAGTTAATATTCGCTATATTCGCGGAAAAAAATTCCGCGAATTCAACATACAGTGAATAATTCTTCAAAAATTGATAAGGATAAATTGAAATATTACCGATATCTGTGATTAGATTCGTTAACTCTATTTGTGTTTCATTGCAAACATAAAAGCAGTAATTAATATATAGCGGAGATGTTGAAACGTAGTTGTTGGTTTTTTTAAAGCTTAATTGATAAATAAACATCCATAACTAACATTTAATTCTGCCATCCAGTAGAGGTGCGATGTAATTATCTATGAAACATGTATTGTTAGATCTCACTCGTGCGTATCACTTGGTCTTATTATCTTTAATCAAGGCACTTACGTAGTAAAGACAACGCTGTTACACATTAATTCAATTTTATTAACGTTCAACATTTTGACTATCGGTACTGACAACTGATTTAGATTCAGGGGGATATAAATATACTGCAGTAAATACTACTCTGTACTCTACTCAAAACATACCTATGAACGAACAACTGCCAAAGGGCTTCATTTTTTTTTACATGAATGTTTTGGATACGACTTGAAATCACTTGAATAAATCACTCGAGTATAGACTCATACGTATTTCAAAAATAATTAATAAAAAGAAAGAAGAAAATTTATCTGAATGCGTAACCTGTAAATCGTACAACATTTTGTCTTCTAATCGGGATCAGTATGGTGTTTCTTTCTATTTAATCGGGTTCAGAATCAACACAATACGTAAGGAAAATATTTGCAGTGCTGAAAAAAAAAATTGCGTATTTTTCCTTTCCGCGAATTCAATCGACCGCGATTTGCTGCAAGTTGAACAAATCGCGATCTTTTCCGACCGCGATTTTAACCTGCTGTACAGTATACGGTCTCATCCAAAGGACCGACGTTCATGAGATACATACGATAAAACGTTAGAGTGATTAAGTTGCTATTCATAGATAATCAACAAACCTTTGTCCCTTCTTTTAGATTGGTCAGACAAATAATTACGGTTACACAATCCTGCCACAACATCCTCCAGAAGTCAACCACTGTTTTTGGTTTTGGGCCTGAAAATATGATTTTACATATATTTTTAAATAGCACCATCACGCAAATTTCTCAAAATTTAAAACAATTAGGGAGATATGTTTGTAATTTATTGGTGATCATATTTACATCCATAAATAAAGTTACCTTGAGTTGCAATATACTTGAGATTACTCTGTGTATCCTATTGACGTAAAATGCAAATATGAAACTCATGCAAAATTAGCTAGGAAGTTAAAATTCATTTCAAAACATATCATCTACAGCATACCAGAGGACACTTTTATGAATTTAAAAAGCAAATACTTTATAAGCATTATGACAAGAAGGATTAAATTCTGTTTATTGGGAATAAATTTTTCATGGTGAAAAAAAAATTGTATCGCTACTGTTCTTAAGACAAGACAACGCACAATACACTAGCATAAGCCAACAGAGATTCGTTTTTTCTCTTTCTCAACAAAGATTTTTGGAAATAATATTCAGCTGGGTCCTTAAAACGTTTATTCTTATAATTATACTTCCCTCAATATAATTAGCATTGATGTAGTCACTTTCATTTGGAGATGTAGTTTTCAATACAACTCGAGAGTGATCATCTATGGAACAACATGAAAAATACAATATAATTTATTCTTTTCATGAAAATGGGGGAAACATGATTTTATATGTACACTCTATATTGTAGTTGTAATTCTTACATGGAAATGTAGTCGTGTATCTGTTTTTAGGTTTATTTTCAGGCTTCTTAGCTTCTTCACAGGGAAGCAATTCACCTCTTGGAATTTCCTATAAAGTTCAAGAAATCATTTTACATGGAAAATATCGAAGTATACATACAATAAAACAGACTTACAACGAAGTTCCTGGGAGGGTGATTTTGCTTCATTATAAGCGTAATTCGTTAAATCCAATAAGTTTACAATATGGGGAATGAAAATCACTTCGCTATAAGCGTCAATTCGTTGGAAGTGTGTTCGCTATAAGCTTGTATTACTGTTTTCTTCAAAGTTTGTCAAATATTGCCTTCATGTCACAACATGAATTTACAAAATCGGCATAACCTAAAAGATTGGAACATATATCTTTTAAATTTTAATGTTTGATTCTAACATGTACATAACATAGATATATTTTAGATTGTAAATACTCAAGGAAAAACTAAATTTATATTATTTGATATAACATATGTATCATACATGGTATTCGTGTTTGAATCCAGCATTTTCAGCAGCAGACATTTTTGTTGTGATGGCCTGTAAATTCCTTGTGAGAATGGTTTTATTTGTAGGTGGACCTCTCTTTGCTATCTCCTTGACATTATGTAATTGATGATTATTTCGTTCTTTACTTTTCCTTGTTGTAAATGCTGAAAAAGAAATTGTAATTTAATAGATAAATTTTCCTGCTTCTAAAGGGAAAAAATCAAATCTTTGATTGCGGTTGTTTTAATAGGCGGACGTTAAACTTATATGCTTAAATTTGCATCTACACATAAAAATAACGAATTTATGTATTAAAAGTAAACAAACATGAATGCGTCAAAAACATTTTTTATTATAGGATTAAACGTTCTTTTTGTAAAATTTATTGATGTGTAAACTCTTGACATTTTACTCACAAACTAAATAAAAGTGCGAAAAAAGAACGTTTAATTCTTATAATTCCAATTACGAAGTTTAAAATTATTTCTCTTTGGAGCCTCCATACAAGCCGTTATTTCTGTATACAGCGTAGGAATACTTTATGTCGCTATGTGGAAATAAAACGTAATCGAGCTGAACATCGATAAAGTTTAACTTAAATTATCAAAGCATTCAATAAAACAAACTTATAAAAGCTCTTCGAACATTGTTTAAGTCAAGGAATATCGTGAATATAGATAGACTTTGGAAGAATTCGTCCTTGGCCATGTTGACATTAACGACAGACGCTCTAAAATGAAAGTAGCATACCGACGACACCCTTGATTTGCTCTAGTTTGTTTAAAGACGGGACAGAATATAGGATGTAGAAATATGAATTTGATGCTGATAAGGAAAGATTCTGAGGTACGTTTCTCTTTCCTATCAGCTACCGAGAACAGAGCTGATTTGCTTAGCATTTAGGAACGACGATAATATCCTATGAGAGATTTGAATCGTGATCTGACAGTGTCATAAACATAACATTCCCGTCTGTCAGTACCGTATGTTGTCAGTATTGTTTTTATTCAATTTAAAGTTTCTGTAATCGTTTAGCTAAAACGGACTAAAAGTAACGATTTGTTTGTTTGTTTTTTTGCAATAAAAGCTACATGAAGGACAATAAAGTAGTTCTGGTCTGGTTGAGAGATTTATCGATTTGTAAACTTTTTCTTGAATTTGCTCTCGTCCAATCAAAACACAGGAAATCAATAAATAAAGTTAAATTGAAATTATATATATTTGATATGTGAAAAATAAAAACAAAACATGTAGAAAAATCCATAGCAATTGTGAATGCATTTCTCATACTGTAAATTGTGCTTTATAGCTATTGATGCATGAACAAATAGAGGGTATTTCTCAGACTGAAGAAGAGTCCCATACTTTAAATACGAAGCGAGTCGCTAATTTTATCGAAAGTCGTTAATCTTATATTTCATTTGCACGGTTCATTGTTATTTGTTTACATTTAGAACTAGTTTTTCAAGATTATTGCATTATAATATTATTCTCAAGCCAAATTTAAGGGGTGCAGCAAGTCCAATTCATAAGTTTTTAAGAACAATTTGTATTACATTTTTGTAAAGAATAAAATATCAAATAAACTTCAAATGAATAAAAGTTTTACCTGTTTCTTCTTGATTTTGGAATGTTATTGTGGACATCTGTATAGGTGCAGAAGCATTGCTGGTTCCCTTGTGTATTCTTTGTCGTAATCTATGAAATATAAACACGAATAAGTTTAAGATTTATTACCCATATTTAATACCATAACAAAAATATGTATAATCGCAACATTATGTTTTTACCTTGCAAATTACTTTTAACTTTTATTTCTTTATTTCACAAAGATTTCAGAAAAAAGAAATTACCGCATAAATAAAGCAAGCAATACAATAAGGATGGTAACAACGGCAAATGCCCCTAAAACGGCACCGATGGTAAGTGGCTGTGCAGACGTACTTTCAGATTGAAGACGAAAGGTTCCTTCTCCTTGAAAATAATGTAAAAAGACATAACCATTGCTTACAAAACTTACATAAGAATATCGTTCTTTTTTAACTTTTAAAGGTTATCAAAAGTACTTTGCTAAATACAAGCCAGGTTTAATTAGTATTGTCATGAAATAACTCTATCAGAAACTTGTGCAGGTTTTCTTGATGTTGACAGTTGCCAATTATATTCGTCCCGTTAATAAAGCTTTAGGCAGAATTTTTTCCCAGACTCACTTTGATTACACATATATCCATAATATGGTTCCTTGCATCCTTCTGTACAACTCCCATTGAATCTATCACAAGTATAATTAACACAATGCGGACTGCAGGACAGGATACAGTTTTCACCATACGTTTTCATAGGGCATTCTAAATTTATAACAATTTGTTTCATAAAATTCAGAAATATAATGAAACATGTCATGAAACAAATGCAATACCTGTATATCGAGGTTTGGTAACAACATTCAATCATTATCGTTTCAGATGTTTGAAATTTCTTGAGAAATTCTTCTTCGTCTTAATCCTTTCTTCCTATATTTCTTATAAAATACAAGAAAGACGAAGCGTGTAATGTTGTGTTCTCTATTCACTGTATGGATTAAGTACTTTTATATTAAGATATTCATATGTTTCTGAAGACTTACTAAATTTCTCCCCAACAAATTTTTCTGGAAAATATGTACATTTATATTATTCACCCGTATTGCACAAGGGAGAATCCTTCCAACCAGTTTTGCACAGACATGATCCGTCAGTATGTTGGCATACTTCCTTGCAGTTTTGTGAGCAGGTATTAGAGCAGTTTTTACCGAAGTAACCATGAGCACAAGCTACAAATATATAATACAAAACAAAATAGTATTGATACACATGCAAATATGCCTTAAGTAACAGATTTTTAAAATTATACACTACATTTGTTGCATAGTCTCCCAAAAAACCCATTTTTGCAGCCATTATGACAAACCCCATCTACATGGTTACAATATTCCTTATTGATACAATGTCCACTACAACGCTGTCCACATCCTTTTCCAAACAACCCTGCAGTACATACTATTGGAAACAAAGATGAAGAAATATTTCAATTTGTGATAAATAACAAAATGTAGACTGATATATTTAAATAAGTATGTGGTGATCAAATAATAATAATAATAATATATATATATATATATATATATATATATATATATATATATATATATATATATATATATATATATATATATATATATATATATATATATATATATATATATATATATATATATATATATATATGTGTGTGTGTGTGTGTGTGTGTGTGTGTGTGTGTGTGTGTGTGTGTATAATTCAGAAGTACTTAAAAGATGATGTCACACAGTAAGAATAATCATAAAATAAAAAAGAAAATGCACAGTTTCCAAATTTCATTCAATACATGTGCTTTCTGGATTTCATAATGCGTCTTCAGGTGTGTACATAACATTTGAACTGTTTTGTTTTGCTTGGTAACGTTAAGTATGACGTCATGAGTGTCTTTGCAGGGATGGAATAAATCCATGACGTCATAGTATGTAGTGTAACGTAAAAAATTGGACAATAAATTATGATTTTCACAGTCTCAGTAATGAAGGGTGCTTCATGACCATGACGTCAAGGAAAGGAATGGAAGAATCACTGTGCTCCATGGTAAATTGAAGATTTGGATTTATTGAATTCAGTAATTTTTTTGTAAATCTTCTTCTGATTTGTTCCAAAATAGTAAACAATCATCTAAAAATCGTTTACAAGAATCCCTTAAGTGTTCTCCAATCTCTTGGCCCATTTCTTCCAAAACCTTTTTATATAATATTTCCTCAAAAAATCCCATAACCAGGATGCTGTATGTTGGTGCCATTTTTATCTCCATGGCAGTGCCTTTGATCTGTTTATAAAGACTCTCCACCAAAATGAAATGTGTTGTTTTCAAGTATAAATTTGATTGAATCTAAAATTCCATACAAAAATCTCTCCGAACTAGTTCTGGGTGCTTTTCAATCCAAACTTTTATAGCCTCTAGTCCAAGTTCATGCGGAATATTAGTATAAAGACTCTTCACATCAAAGGTAACAAGTAGTGTATTTGGCTGCACCTTTTCAGGAATTTTGTTTTAAAAAATCCATGCTATCTCGTATCTAGCTCGGAAATTTTTCACATAGATCTTTCAAGAGAATATCTATAAAATTACTCAGTCTATGAGTGGGACAAGCAGGACCAGCCGTAATTGGTCGTATTTTCAGATCTTTTGGTTCTTTAGTAGCAATGTATGTTTGGTTTTGTTCTTCTATGGCAGTCTTAATATCATTGCTTCTATGTATCTTAGGTAGTCCATAAAAGTTGCTTGTTTTCATTCCAAAGTTTGTTAAATAGTCAAGCTCCTCTTTTTTTAAAAATAAATGAAGTTTTCTGCATAATTGTTTAAGATTTCTCATGATTGTTTATCAGGATTTTCTGGAAATCTCATGTAGAAATTATTATCACTTAATTGTTGAAGAACTAGGGATTTATAGAATGCTTTGCCCATACAAACTATTGCTCCCTCTTTGTCCGCTTCTTTGAAGATAATTTCAGTCTCTTTTTGTAATTCTTGTAGAGCTTTTTTATGTTTTACAGTCAAATTGCTTTTCACAAGATTTTTTTTTAATAAAGATGATTTTGTGGACTTCAGAACATCTATATAATCGTCTAAATCCTTGTTACGTCCCTTTTGTATTGTTGTTCCTATTTTGTTTCTCACAATACACAAATCTTTTTTCTCAACCCGTCCATAAAATTCTGTTATACGTAGTTTTCTACAGAATTCAACAATATCCTTTTCCAAGTTTTGATTGTCGGGGTTGGATGTTGATGTAAATTTAAAGCCCTTTTCCAATAATTCTTATCCCTCTTGAGTAAACGTTTTGTTTGAAATATTAATTGCTTTTGGGTCCACTTTATTTATACCCAACTTTTCCATCGATATTTCTGAATTTTGCCCCTCCACAAAAAGGCTAACCTTGGTTGTGGTTTTTGTTGTTGTTGTTTTTACGTTTGTAGTTTGCATTCTTGTTGTGGGAAACTTCTTGCTGAAATCTCGGTTCTTGTAGTCCTTGATTTCCTTGATTTTGATTGAAATTATACTTCTGATGGTATCTTTGGATATCAGAAGTTGATCTCATTGTTTGCTTGTTGATTCTCTATCTTACATGCTGTTATTACTAACGGCTTCAGCATACGTTTTACTGTTTGTCTGTTGGTAACCCTGGTTGGATTTCAATGATTTGCTTCTTTTTGTTTTCTGATTTCCGCTTGTGTTGAATGAAATTTGGAAACTGTGCATTTTCGTTTTCTTTTATGATTATATATATATATATATATATATATATATATATATATATATATATATATATATATATATATATATATATACAACCTTTATTACAAAAATCTCCGGTGTATCCGGGTGTACATCCTGAGTCACAATGCCCTGTTTCCTTGTTACACGTGTTGCCATTTAAACAATGCCCACTGCAGTTGGAAGCACAGTTTGGGCCATATCGTCCATTACTGCAGGCTTCATTTCAGAGTAAAAAAAATAGAGGTTTATTATTTAAAGACTTAAGTTTTTTCAATGTTAACCATGATAGCCTTTTTAATAGTGGTGTTCAAGAACACTAATTTTCTTGCCAAAGAGAAGAAAACACCAGTTATACCTAAAATCTGTATTACAACGATGAATAGTTTTCTTATTTTTATAGAAATTCTAATTCAGTAACAAACAATTACCCCAACAGTTCCAGAAGTCCAATATTTTATTTAAAGAGCAAATTGCAAGTAAGGATTTAAGCATAAGAGAATGCAGAGGACAAATACAGTGAACGATGAACAAAGAGACTGACAAAACGAAAAGTAATCGCTAAAATCTAAATGAAACTCTAAGAAAAAATTCATTTGATGATTTTCATTCTTCAAAATAAAGGGGGACTGGCATTTGGAAAAATTCATTTGTCGTAAAAACAAAAACAAACTAGAAATTGTTAATTTTGACTACTCATATAATTTCGCACATATTTGTTGTTAAGCTCAATATCGGAAGATACTTCTTTGTGTTTTTTGTTTGTTTGTTTTGAATATTAAAAAAATCGGATTGTACCTTGCTGAAAAGTTCAATTCGACACCTACAGGTTCCCTACTATAGAATTTCGCTTAATAAATTATTGACGTCAATGACTCTTAATTGTCCGGAATTGTAACCCATTTTATTCAATTTTCTTATCTTCTTGTTATTTTCCATAAATTACTTGTCTGTGGCGGATGGAGGCTTCCGTATAATCACATTTCGCTATGCTGTTTGGTTTGCATTAAATGGTTTGCAGAATAAAACTGTAAAACCGTTTTGTTCACCTGTTTCTATGCGCTTTGTACACGAATCCTACATGCGAAGGCCAGTAAACCCAGCTCCGGAGATATAGAGATACATATTTACATCCACTGAATATTATCTCCTTTATTTATGAAAAACCACGGTCGTAATTACCAATACTTTTTCGCCGCTTAGCATGCCACCTATATAGATTTCTTCAGGAGTGGCTCATCCATCAATGAAACCGATGACGTACATATCAATAATACAATATTTAACGTACTTAATCCTTTACTTTATATGATTATTTTTTCAGACATAAATATACACAATAAAATTTCTTTCTTTCCTAGTTTGGGACTTAATACCTCATGTATTATGAAAAAGTCATTTTCTATGTACATTTCGTATATTTAAAAAACAGTAACTTAGCCATATACATTGAGGTAGAATTACTTGTAACGATGAAAACAAGTTAAAAAAAATGTTTATAGTTAAAATATAATGTGTCCTGATTATTAAATTATATTCTTCATTAACTCTACCTTAAATTTAAGCGGAACAATATGAATGAATTCAGAAAACGTACATTCAATGCACGTAGGTTGGATCCATCCGGAAATACA